AGTCACATTCTAACCTTGTTAATTATTCGCTTATCAATCTTGACTATTTTTATATGAGCGCGTAGGTGTGTGTACACTTCTTATCCCATTACTCATCACATGTCTGTAACTTATTTTTGTGTGCCTATAAATATGGATTAACGCTTGGTTAAATGGAGTTGGCCTACCAGCCATCCCCACTCTGCGTCCTTCCTCTTCTCTCTATTCCATTCGCTTCATATACAAAATATATGTATTTACAAGTCCATTCTCGTTATTTGACTTATTTAATTCCGTTAATGACTAACGCGATTTAAGTCGATGATTATATACAAGGACAGGCGAAATATATATTTCAACAACAATCATCATTACGATCGAATTAAAGTCAGAATTCGGGCCACTAAAGTGGAGAGCCCTTTCGACAACACAGTCCGATCTAAATGACGACAAAATTAACGGGTCTTTACAAGTGATGCAGTAGTATTTGTCACTAACCGCGCGATTTTTGTATTTGAACATATAATAACTGGGAAGATTTATGTTTGTTTTTTAACTCAGAGAAGGTTGTAAATGGTGAACACGAAAAATTTGATCAGTATGGCATGGCCTTGTCATGCAGGTGTGGTCATTCTATGTAACCCCTAGATTTTCGTACTAATTACACAATTCTCATCCCATCTCAAATTATTGTTACTGACTCGATTAAATATGCATTTTTGAACAGTTTGTTTTATTTCCGTTATTTCGAGAAATAAACGTAACGTTTAGATCTATTTACTGCTCCACCGGAAAGCGTTAGTAATATATGAATATTAATTGGTTCGTCGTTGCACTTTGACTGATTTAAGCTTTTACTAATCTCTTGCTTCAGTAAGTCGTCGTAGAAAGCAGATTTTACTCTATTTACAGAGGCAGTTTCCTTCTTTTCATTCTTGTTAATGAAGTGTTTAGATATTCGTCTAACGACTCCATAAGGCCCTTCATACGGTTGTTCTAATGGTTTCCTTTGTCGACGCGGAGAAAATGAATTTCCACACCCTCAGATGTTTCCCCAACTTCTCCCGGTAAATATTCCCACATCAACGTATCGCTTCGATTTGCTTCATAGTCTTCAATTAAGAACTTGCAAAACGTGTTGGATCGGTGGGTGTTTTACCGTCAGGGTTAGCCAGTTGTACCGTAAAGACAGGAGTTGTACCTTAGACTAGCTCAGTCGATGTGCAGTTAATAACTTCTATAATGTTTGAGCGAAGTCCAAGGGGGAAAAGTCGTAAACCGTCATTCCGATTTGCCGTATCAACCAGTGGTATTAGAGAGCTTTTTAATTAGGGGTAGAATACTTTGACAAAACTATTCGCTGCAGATAGTAGGCTATTGTTCTCATGTGATTAACTCCTAAAAGTCTGGTAAACACCTGGAATACGACAGAATGAAGTTGGGAGCCACGATATGCATTGATGATCAGTGGCACCCCGTAGTTAGGTGTCCAGCTTTCGAGGAATGCCGAGGCTATCGAATCTTCTGCTGTAATTTTCATGCAACGTCCTCGTTCCATTTGGTAAACCAGTCACCAGCGGTAAGGATATAGGTGCGGAATAACAATATCTAAATAAGCATCCTAGAAACGTCTGTCAGATAATGAGAGTTTTCCCAGACTACTGACCGTACACCGTTACACTTTGATGTACCGGCGGTTTATCCAGTTTCGTGCCGTTCGCATTAATTTTCGACCAAACAAAACATTCTGTGATGTAGTATGCTGTAGCTTGGCTCCTGAAGTGTGAAAATTCATGAAGCTGTAGTGACTCACTTTTATGACGAGAATACGAATGGTTTAATGAGAACAATCATTATTATAACCAACTGTACCAGTCCTTGTTTTAACGTGCTTTTGTTTAACTGTGTTAATTACAGCCATTTTGTGCTCCCATTAGCTTCCATCATTGTTCCGCGGTTTTTGGTACTGTTCGCACGTATTCTATTCTCCTGCTTTCGCTTGTACCATTTCTTGGCAGGATCTCGGTATTCGTTCGATACCACGAGATCGCCAACCTAATAAATCTGGTTACGTTCAACCTTCGCCTTCTAATTTCTTTGGCACGTCTTTCTTGGTAGTGGTGTTCATAGTCAATTGGGACTCGACGCTACGCTACAAAGCTGTTACAATAATCTTCGCCTACATCTTTCAGCTGAAAAGAACGGCTGTTACCTATTGAAATGTCACAGAGGATAGTCACATCTCAGAAAGGAGTTGGCATATGTTTGAGTAGCAATTTAGATTGTTCTCTGCAAATTCTTAACTCCACTCAGTCTACCTGCAATTTCACCATGCTTACAAGTTGCTTTTGTATTACTGTGTTGCTTTCACTTCGTGGAAGAGCGTCTGCTACACATAAGTGTCCTCTCATCTGGAACCTCTGGTCACATTTCTCTCTAGCTACAAGAGCTAGTATGAATTCAATCTAATAACTTATCATACCTCTGCCTGTTCCACTACAAGATGTTAAGTATTGTTTATCGTTCATATCCAAGCGGCTTGCTGCTCCTCGGTTTTTCTTTTTTTTCAGAATCATGCTCTGAGGGTACAACTATGGAACTTCTGACATCTGGAACAAACTCAACGTACGCGTTTCCTCAAGGTCATAGTTCACACCAAGCGCTCTACAAGTTTACTTTATGACAACTATAAACTTAAAAGTTGCGTTGCATAAATACTTAGCACTACCAAAATCCTAACACAATTATGCCGAGATTGGATCTGGTGTGTAACGTGGATTCGATACCACTTTGAAAAATATTTTGAAGACTGCTCAGTATATCTGAAGGAGTGAACTGATATTTATATACTTATTTAACAACTCTGCTTGGGATGCATACTGTGAACCAATAAATGTTGTAATTTGTAGATCATGCCTGTAAAAATGGCATGTACCTGCCCATAACAACTTATGGGTACATAAGTGTTGAGAAAAAACGACTTCGGGTTTTTTCAAAATGCAATAATACACAAATTTCAATAATGTTAGCATTATGTTTGTCATATTTGAAAAGGAGAATAAATAGATAATGATGACAAATCAGGTTCTGTATAATTGAGAATAATGAGTTGACTATTGGGAGGTAGGCAGCCCCAGTCGTGGGAACACCGCTTAGTGTGATGTCCTCACATTCTCTAAGCCGAGACACATCGCCAGAATATTAGAAGTTGGCTAACATTACATCAATATTTAAGGGAGATCGACGCAGCGAACCGCCAAGCTACAGCATGGTAGCACTTCCTCCAATACCCTAAAAATCATAGAGTGCTTGATGTGCAATGTTCTCCGTGACTACTTTCTATCCATAAATTTATTTTCATTTCAACAGCGAAATTCCAGAAAAGTTCATCCTTTTATTACTAACCTGCTGATAGCGGTGGGCAGACAAACAGCCATCCTTGAACGAGAGGGAAAGGTTGACGTCATTTAACTCGACTTCTCAAAAGCTTTTGCTAGGATCGATCATATATGTCTTGTCAATAAGCTCAAATGGTTAAGTGTCTAATCATCTTTAATCAATTGGCTCACTTCATCTCTAGAAAATCGACATTTTAAGGTCAGGGTTAACCTCATTTTCTCTCAGGTTATGAAATGTCTTAGTGTGGTCCCCTAGTATTCACAACAGGTATCGTCAGATTTATAACTATTCGCTAATGATGTGAAACTCTGGAGAGAACAATGCAATCACGAGGATAAGCTGGTTCTTCAGAAGGATTTCACTCAACTTCAAAGTTGAGCAGATAACAATGGACTTACATTTAGCATTTCAAAGAGTAAAGTAGTCCATTTGAGACATGTTATAGACTACGAATACCACTAAGATAACTCCCCTCTGGAGGTCTCTCAGGTTGAAAAATATTTAGGAGTGTTGGTGTCCTACAATCTTAGGTCTTACGCCAACAGCGACAAAAGTTCCTTTGTACTGGTAACGTTAAAGAGCATTTTCGGCCAGAACTTTCCACATAATCTTCGACAGTTTTATTCGTCTCCAGTTAGAGTACGGAAGCATATTATTTCCTCCCTCACTCCCAAACGACAAAAACACTCTGGGACTTATCCGATGGCGAGCCGTGAAATGAGTTTGGGGACTGAAATTCAAGTCCTATGAAGAGCGCCTACAGTCACTAAAGCTTTACCCATTAGATTACAAGCGCCTTAGATGTGATCTTCTAATGACTTATAATATTGTAGATCACCAACGTAGACGATCTATGTCGAAAATGATTGCAGGCCTACTCGAGTTAGACGTGAATGGTGTGACAAACTAGCTAACATCGAAGTCACACCTCATGGTCAGCACCTTACGTGGACTACCCCATTGACGTATCAAGGCACCATAGATGCTTTGAAGACTGTACAACACAGAGGACGTTATTACAGAAATATATTAGTTAAAGTAGATACAAGCGAAAGTAAGACCACTGCCGCATGGGCCAGTCCAAAATGATGGGATAGCGAAGGTGGTCCTTTAGGCACACCGCCTAGATGGACCATGAGACAGAATTTGATTTCTGGCGAAGTAACCACCTCCATTGCCCGACTGACGGATGATTTGGCTAGGGCTTAGTGACATTTCGATGGCCCTACAATATCCTAAACATTTTGGGGCATCCCGTTCAACACCTACTTAGGCTTAGTCCCAACACAAAACTTAGGTATAACACTAAGAAACTAGAGACACAACACAGAAGAGCGAACTCTGGACATATCTTCTGCTCCTCAAGAGTAGTCAAATGTTGGGACTCGCTGCCGGGTGAGACAGTCCCAGGAGTCCTTTAAGAGAAAAATTGTCATTTTCCTAAGGACTGAGGACGGTATCTTGCCATGATTTACTAACTTTTCTCTCTCATTTATCGTTAATATACCTAGACTCTTACCTGGAGGCATCAGTGACTCACTGCTACTAGATACGGAAGCCCGTTAAGCGAAAGTTATATTACGTCCAGAACCATTTGAACCCTTTGAATGTACAACTGTCTTGATTTCTATTGGTCACTTCAAGGACGGTATGGTCTATTATGTTTTGTATTTGCAATTGGTTTTTTTGTGCGTTTAAACTATCAGTGTCTACTTTAACTTCTTACCGATTCAGGTAATTTGAAAGACGGACACGAAAGCCAATGTATAGCACAATTAATCCATAGGTTGAAGGGACCCGTTGACCTGACTTTTTTAGAGTGTACGAATGTTTGCTATCACCTATTCTCATATGCTAAGCGAGCGAGAGCCATAACAAAGCAATTTTGACACGTATGGAAGATGGCTGGGAAGCCAACTCCATTTTAATTAAGCGTTACTCAGTATTTATAGGTAGACAAAATAAACTACAGACATGTGATGAATCATGGGATATGGAGTGTACACACATATACGCTCATATGAAAACAGTCAAGGCTAATAAGCGAATAATTGACAAGGTCAAAATATGGTTCAAGTAAAATGAATAAAATAGGATGTCCGGAAGTTAGAATAAAGGTATATGGGCTTGCCATAATAACTGACACTACAAGGTTCCCAATTTTTGAATTATCACTAGTTTACAGGTGATTTAAGACTCATTGGTGTAATAACAATAAACAAATGGTAGTTTCTGCCTGTCAGGTACTGCGAATGACGTCGGCCGTCGAATTTGCCCTGATTATTATTTGGTAAACCTCTGCATCATGATGTTGCTTTCTATTATCTAGCAGTTCAACAATGCGGTCTCGGTAATAATTAATAATATTGATACTAAGTTTCTAATACTTAAGTCTAATATCGGCTTCTGTGCCAGGTATTTTTCAACCATTCACGAAATTCCAAGCATGCTTTCTTGCAAGAAAGGGACGAAAACGACTCACACCTTACTAATCTCCTATCATCATAGATTTTTTAATATGGTGACGATGTCAAGATATGGAGAGCGATAAAAAAAAGTTAGGGTGGTAGTTTAGAGCTTCCAAATAACTTAGAAAAGTTATCTGATATTAAGCTTTGCAGTTATCGACAAACGCCCCCTAGTGCATTATAAAGCAGATACACACAGGGCGAGTTACAAATGGTTTTGAACGGAATAAAAGCTTTCGCTTACCAGGCTTCCTTATCTACTAGCAGTGGATCATCAATACCTCCAGGCAGGAACCTAGGTATGTTGTCGATAAAAGAGGGAAAAGGAAAAAAAGGTAAACCATAGTTAGACACTACCCTTAGTCCTTAAGAATATGTCAAACAGTGAGCTACCTGTTGTCCAGACACAATGACTTGGGAGTTATCGCTAGCCAATACTTTGAAACCACTGCACATTACCGTGCGATAGCCATCAAGGATTTAAAAACCTTATGGTTAGTACGTAGAGCTTTTAGTCATGTCAATGCTAAAACCTTTTTGACCTTGTATATGGTATTCGTTCGTCCTAAACTCTAATGCATACAAGCGGCTAATTCTTGACTGAAAAGAGACAGAGATTTGTTGAAAAAGGCTCAAAAAACGGCGATCAAGCTGATTACCGGAATAACAAAGCTGCGTCTGTCATCTGTCCTCCATGCACGACTTTTCACTTTCAGTCTGTCGTATGAATTACGGATGTTGTTGACGATCTCAGGTACAGTCAGTCAGTCAGTCAGTAACAACGTAGAACTTCGTACGTACGTACATCAGTCTGAGTTGCCATACCACATTAGCACAGAGATGCAGTTGTCGATTCAAACCCCGTAGTGGTAGAGGTAGTAAGAGTATAAGCAGTAATCGGAAAGATTAGGGTTTGGCGATGTTATTTAAAGAGTATAATCCAGTGAATTTGGGAAGAAAAAAAGACAAGGAGGAATCAGGTGATTAAATTTTGGAAGAACACAGAGTGTATGCACCTGCGCCATTGAAAACGATTTTAAGCCATGCCATTCAAGGTCTCTAACCATCGGTTGCTATCATCTCGTGGTCCCCAATCAGGTAGTCTACACCTACCAACATGACTCAGTCCACTTGTCAGTGACTTCATGGACTTGTCCCATGTTTTGGTTTGGCCGCCCCTAGCTTTCTTCCAACCTACTCCTATACCACTGAACATCTCACGTCGAAGCAGTCGGTAGTTGGACATACGTAACACGTGTCCCAGCCATCTCAACTGATAAAGTTTCAATACTTCATCAATGGATTTGCCATCCTTACCTAGTACCCGTTTCCTAACAACTGTGTTACTTACTCGATGGTCCCATGATATACGAGCAATGTTTCGAAGACACCTATGATCAAATACTAGTAACCTACGAATATCCCCACTCTTACCGGCTATGTTTCACTGCCATAAAGTAGGACGGAACGACTTGCTGCGTAGTAAACAAGTCCTTTGGTTGATAGACGGATATCTTGCCCATGCCAAACCAAAACATGGCATCAGTCCTTGAAGTCACTCATTTCTAGTCTTAGCCATGTTGTTAGATGCAGACTACTTGGTTGTGGTCCACGTGACTATCGTAACCAATGATTGGAGACTGTGGGTGACATGGCTCAGAATTGATCACAATGGAGTCGGTGTATACACTCTCTGTCTTTTAAACTATGCGATTAAAATTGCATTATATCTTTCTTTCTACGAACTAATTTCTTCTTCCTGTACTACATCCTGATGCACAATATTTCTTTTATATATTACCACCATTGAAGTAACTACTTCTATTAATTTGGTGTTCATCTTGTTGTGCTAATGAGGTGTGGCAACTTGGACTGATGCATATATGTGCTTGATCCTAAGTTGCAGCTGACTGACTGAACCTTGTCCAGGGTTTCGATGGAGATCCATTCCTTATGATGGTGCTTGTTGAGGCCCAGCAGCTCCTGACACGTTGAAGTTGGTGCTTCCTTGATCCCCTTCCAATTGTCTCCCATAGTATTTTCTTGTTCTGTGTGTAGACCTTGTAAGGCGTGGTACCTGCTGTTGAGAGCTAGGTTGAATTTGTTGAGTTTGTCAGTATGTCGAATGTGGGTTATATTGAACCTTTGTAATGCTGTTTGTCCAGTTGTCCAGTGCTTTTTTAACTTCAGTCTCATCTTGGCAACCATCAGGTAGATGGTGATCTAAAGCTACGTCAGCTGCTCTGCTGCTTTCCACATCTCCCATTGACATAAATCTCTTAGTGTTGCAAATACGATCTACCTGGTTCTCTGCAGTGTGATTTGGTAAGACCCATGTATCTTTGTGTATGCGTTTGTGGGGAATACTGTGCCGCCTGTAAACATTTTGTTGAATTTACATCAATTTACAAATCTGTCACCATTCTCATTCATTTCTCCTAGTTAGTTCATGTCGTCCCATGATATCTTGATACTCGGTGTTATTCATTCGGACTATTGCGTTTAGGTCTCCCATCAGGATGGTCAGGGCCTTTCCTGAACACTTCTCTATGATTGATTGCAGCCTCTCGTAGAACTGATCTTTATCGTCGTCGTTGCTATTGTTGGCTGGTGCATAACAGTGGATAACGTTCATTGTGATTCCCTCCTTTGTTTTGAAAGATGCTCTGATGTTTGTAGATCCATGAGATTCCTATCCAATAAGTGGTTTTGGTGCTTCTTTGCGTAACATCAGTGCGACTCCTCGTTTGTGCATAGCATTTACTTTTTCATGACCAGATTGCAACAGCATCTCTCCCGAATCCAACCTTTTTGTGGAGATTGGGTTCGATGGGTTTTTCTTGTTCCGAGCACCACCAAGTTGTATCTCATTTCCGCAGCTATTTGATTAGTCCTCCAGGTCTCCTAGTGTCCGGACATTCCGTGTACCAATATCGGTTGTTTCTCTGGTTGTTGGAAGGGGCATCGACTTCGTGAGGAACTGATACAGATAGGAGGTAATTAAGGCAGTTAAGCTATGTTCCTTCTGCTTTTGGTTAATGACTTGCGTTTCTGACTCTGGTTTCTGGATTGGGACTGAGACAAGTACTCACTCGCAGTCTTACTTTGAGTATTCCTTCTAGGTCAAACATCTGGTACGCAATGCGGGCCTTTGCTTCCTTCTGTTCTGTCTCACTGTACTTGTCCTTAACTTGGTTAAAGGCCAGTTTTAACTTCGTGCTCTCTCCCACGAATTTCCTAACTGTTTGATCTTCTACCAGTTGAGCCACGTATTTCATAATATTGATACCCATTTTATTATTATTATCTGAACACATATATATTGGTACAGGAGTGGGCCAAATATATATGCGCCACACAATTTCAGTTCATTAATTGCGTGTGGGCTGCGATACTGCCCGGGTGCCCAGACCGAAGCAGGTGGTTATCTTAGGGGGCCACACTTCGAGCCTTTGACCTAAAGGTCTAACCCACAAGGCAGTGGAGCATCGTGAGGAGATGCAGTCCCATAGTAGCCGGTGACCGAAAATTGGTTCATACGCCATTTGTTCCCGCAGGATACTGGTGCCCATGTGCACCATAGATTTGGAATCCGGTTAAAGCGCCGGACATTCGCTTTTCGTCCTCTCATTTTCGTAAACAACACCCCCGCCACGAGAAGGCAGTGAGTAGGACTTCCCTGGCAGAGGCTGTATACACGTGGCCGTGTGAGAGTATTTCGAGAGGGAGGGCGAACCCACCCCGCTCTCGGCCATACCAGGGCATTTGAGGGCCCTCAAATTGATACCCAAACCGATTACATTTCTTAGTGGTGACTAGGAGTGGAATTCAGAAGGTACGTTCGTTGTTTAAGGCTCAAGTAGATGTAGATAGAGCCTGGAATTGATGTTCACGTTGAAACTTGGACCGTAAACCGATTGTTTTTAACGTCGACGCGTTATCCACTAAAATACTGAGTTACGACAGCTAGTAAATTCTGACTGTAGACAGTATGTCGACTTATTCACACGAGGATTTCAAATACCAAATCTGATTTCTTGGATTTTTATTGAATCATTTCATAAATCCCTTGATGTATTCATTATTTTTGGCAAATCATTTGGTTGTTTTGGCCTCACTTTTGTCTACTCCACAAACATTAGTAATGGAGGTTTTGATAAATGAATAAAAATTAGGCGTTTCCAAAGTTTACTATTTTAATAATGCTTTTGTTTAAGCGAATTTTCTTCTTTAAGGGTCAATCAGTGTCACCAGCTACCTGCAACTTCTCTTAGCAAAGTCTAATGAATATCAGTTCTGCGTACTTCATTTCTAATATTTATAATCGTTTGAAACAGTCCCATTAGTTAATATATCATTGTTGTATATATATACTCATCTGTTGTTTTTATACATAACGTATGTATCTATTTCAAGTTTTTTTTATTTAGGATTTGCATCCAGTGCCAAAGAATATATGCTCCTTATTTTGCCAAGGTTAACTTGTGAATTGGACAGTAATTCATTATCAACCATCTCATTCTAAAATTTCATGGTTATTACCCTAAAGGCGATTATCTCCAGGACAATATTTTTGAGTGTCAGTGAAGCGGTTTGTAAGGTCTCATAGAAACTTCTAGTTGAAGACTGTAAAACTAATTCAGAACCAAATGTTACCTAAACAATTACCCTACACCAGTGATGACACTAATATCTCCGAGTCCACACTTAGCAATCATGGTTCGGATTTATTTTCTAACACACAACAGATAAACCCATCTTCAGTTAATTCGAATGCTCTTGACTCAAATGTTAGTCCTGAAACCAACCACAACGGTAAACCTCTCTTAGTTGAAGCTGTCTCATCACAAACTACAGATAATGCAGAAACTATTTCTTATCAGCTTCCCACTAACTCTGGTTATGAGTCGTTATCACTAAGTTCCAAGAAAGATGACATTATTCCAAGTTCTGCATTACTTCAGGAGATTTCAGTGAATATAGACGCTTATCAGCCTTCTAATGATTTGCCAGATAACGAAAATGTGTTAAGTGATTCTGTTCACCAGTCTGACAACTTACTACTTCATAAACAAGTCGAAACACTAACATGTAAACTCATGGCCTCGCAAGATCAGATTGATCGACTTTTAGAAGAAAAACGTATTTGGGTTGAAAATATGCAGCATGCAAATAATTCTAAGGAATCGAATCATCAAGTAACTCCAGGTGAGCTACGCGGAAGATGGATACAAGCTAAAAATCTAGCTGAAACATATAAACGCGAAAAGGAATCTATGGTTATTAAGTACGCTCAGGTAAATGTCTTGTGCTCAAATATTATTTGTATTAAAATGATCTCATACTAGTGTACATTTTTAGCTTTATATTCTAATGCATCCTCCTGTCTTACCTCAATCCTTTCCAGTCATTATTTTTATGATCAACGTTTCTCTCAACAGGTTCGACAGAGTTTTTCACTCCAACTATATTAATTGTTTATTTGATACACAAGTCATGGTACTCTTAGGCACCAGAAATGTTTGTGTCACACACGTGACAAGATAATATTATGAAGCAACAGAAGAGGGAAGTAAAATAAAGAAAGAAAAAGAAAATTAAATGGGGGAATAAGAGTAGTATGTATCATGAGATATATTACAGTTAGAAATCAAATCACGAAAGGCTTTCAGTTGAGGGGAAACTGTAACAGGATCGCTAAGTGCTTTCATTCTGAGCCATCTCTGATTATCTGTCAAGCATACAAGTGATATACTCTAGGAATCACGATGGATCAACATGTGGCAGTCCTAAACAGATTTCTTTCATACTGTGGAACATGCCATAAACTGGTTACCTCTCTGCTTTTTTCCACTCCAACCCAAGTTCGCCATATAGTGCGCGATGTGGAATTCGCTGGGAGGTTATTCGTAGCACATGTCCAAGCCATCAAAGCCGGTGTTTCAGGATGGTGACATTGAAATGTTGTCACTCCACCCGGACCCATATTGATGAACCTCAGCATTACTAAAATGATGTTACCACTTTTTGAGAAACCCTTGGGAGATGATAATGATCAATGATTAGGAGTTACCCAGCATCCCCAACTTGGAGAGACCGGGTTTCACAAGTAAAGAGTAGAATCGCTCTCACCAGTGTTTTGTATACATAACTTTTCATAGGCAAAATAACATTGTGGGGGCCCCAAATATCAGTCAGTCAGTCAGCTACAATGTAGGACCTGGCACACGTGTGCGTCAGTCCGAGTTGCCACACCTCATTAGCACAACAAGATGAACACCAAATTCATAGAGGCAGCCACTTCAATAGTAGTAGTGTATAAAAGAAAGATATAAAGCAATTTTAGTCTCACTGTTTAAGAGAAGACAAAGTGTATACACCGACACTATTGTGATCAATTCTGAGCCATGTCACAGAGTCTCCAACCACTGGTTACAATAGTCGCGCGGACCCCAACCAAGCAGTCTGCATCTAACAATATGGTTCAGACCAAAGATAACCCAGATTAACATAAGCTGTTTACTAAAGAACTTGTTGTTTCTATCTGACATGTCGCAGAATCAGTTTCAGTGGAACCAATGCATTCACTCTGTTTTTCATAAAATCCTGTATTTTAAGATTATCTCATGCATTTCATTTTACGAACTGTTTCCTTTTTCTCGAATCCGCTTCAAATTTAATCTTATTTTCACTATTACTAATACTAATACCCTGATATGCCTCTTGGTAATTTCATCTCCTGTTGTTATGGTGTAACAACTTGAGCGTATGCACATTTGTATTAGGCTCTATATTGTTTATAGTTGATTGACCTCGCCGAGAATTTACACATTTTGAAGTTGGAAAATTCTTACAACCTAAATGTTTCTTATATAGAAGTCTCACACAGTAATGTACGCTAGCTGAATATTATCCTATTGGTTTTCTTTACTAAAACAGTCTCTATCCTATAAAGTTTATTCTTGCGAATGACAATGATGGGGTCAAAAAATCCAAGAGCAGTGGAATAAGTATCAGCTGATAATTTTGATATAGACAGACAATTATATCAATCGTATTGTCGCAAATGATAGCCTTACATCGTTACTTCAAGTAGTTATGCAATCAGGGCTTCTCATTAAGATTTGTATATTTTACGTGATTGTCAAATACGTATCAATCTTAAAATTATCGATCAACTGCTGAGTGGCTTGTACACTAAATACGTATATATTGGCTGTTTGGTTCCTCCCATTGATACTTAGGACTGTGATCGACCAGAATTTTTTGGCTTATGTGCATCCTGTGCAGATCGCCTCAATATTCCCATTAAGCCACAAGCATTGTAAGCAGAGATTTAGATACGTCCAGCTGACGAGTCCCAGATAGAACGGAACGCGTGTTCTGGATTCCACTGCTAGCAACTAATCTGTCTCTGACTATAATGCACCAAATAGTTTTCTAATCTTTAAACCAATTTTACTAAATGAGTTTTACAGTTATTTCGATCTTAAGGATTGTTGAAATTTGATTAAGTAACTAAAAAGTTGGTGTGAATTAGAATCAAGATGTAGGCGTACAAGGTATGGTCTACTGGTAAAATCGTTCCCTTCAATAAATGTACAATCAATATGTATCTAGTTTATTCTGATTTGATTACGTGACGTTTCATTTTATTGCTTCATCTGGTCTTTTAAAGTTTGGTAACTATTTTTATCTATCTAAATATCTTCTTTCAATAGAGTGAACAGAAACGAATACAATTAGAACAACAGATTCACAGTCTGGAATGTAAAATAAGCCGTTTATTTAATTCAAATAACTTCGAACAACATCAACAGACGGAGGAAACTGAAAAGACTGATGATAGAGATAAGTCTTCAGTGAAAAACCAACCTCATAAAACATCTGTGATAAATTCGTTTATAGCAAACAATGACTCCAATGAGAAATCTAACATAGAACATCTTCAAAAGGTTTGTATTGGTTTTTATTTTTTCCTAGTCATAGTGTTATTTATCATACCTGTAAATATCGTGATCCATGAATCAGCGTAACATATTTCATCATTTTTTTGCTACAAGGTTCTGACTAACAGCTGTTTCAAAAGCTAATGTATACTTGAAATTCCAGGCAAGTTTTCGTGTGTTAAGAACCAGCTACATATCAGTGAGTCATTTATGTGTTAAGTAAAACCATTGCAAACGGATCTGGGCCACCTCATCCAAAGTCTTTAAACACTGCTTTTTTTGTTTAAACACAAACATTAGCACAAAGGGGCACCAAAATATATATGTACCACACAAATCATTAAATTTTCGTAGGGGCTGAGGTGCCCGGGTAAAGGATGCGGTTTGGGAATGGGGTCGGCAACCCCACTCCGCAGAAGAAAAATCTTGCTAAAAAAGCCACCCCCAATCCTTTGATCCAGAAATCTAACCCGCAAAACAGTGGAGTAACGTTAGCGGATGCGGTCCCATCCTACTCCTACACAAAACAACATCGCCTGTCGAGGTTAGGGGTGGATGGACATACGGAATACGTGTCGCGAATACCAGCTCCTGAGGATCCACCACTTCGTCAGTCGATTTGCCATATTTATCTAGTATCCTATGTCTAACTCCGGAATCTCCCACTCAATGATCCCTAAATACATAAGTGATGCCATGAAGTCACCTATGAGCAAATACTAGTAACCTGCGGATACCCTACATTCTTGATGGAGGTGTTTCACATCCATAAAGTAGAACAGAGCGGATTGCTGTTCAGTAAACTTGTTTTTTGGTTGTCAGATAGGTATCTAAGAAAGATTGGTTCAGCGAAGAGTTCTATTTTCAGCGAATTAATTTACAAAGCTGTACAATTACAAATATATATATACTTATTTTTTCAGGATGAATATTTAAGCCATTAACAATCAAAAGATTATTGCTTTCCCCGTTTAAAAATTTTTTAAATACCTTTGTTTATTCTACCTCACTTTCACCGTGTCTAACAAAAGTTTATTGTCATTATTATTGTAATTATTATCATCATAGGTGTCTTCGAAACATTGCTCGTATATCATGGGACCATCGAGTAAGTAACACGGTTGTTAGGAAACGGGTACTAGGTAAGGATGGCAAATCCATTGATGAAGTATTGAAACTTCATCAGTTGAGATGGCTGGGACACGTGTTACGTATGCCCAACGACCGACTACCTCGACGTGCTATGTTCAGTGGTATAGGAGTAGGTTGGAAGAAAGCTAGGGGCGGCCAAACCAAAACATGGGACAAGTCCATGAAGTCACTGACAAGTGGACTGAGTCATGTTGGTAGGTGTAGACTACCTGATTGGGGACCACGAGATGATAGCAACCGATGGTTAGAGACCCTGAATGACATGGCTCAAAATCGTTTGCAATGGCGCAGGTGCATCCACTCTTTGTGTTCTCTCAGATTATAATCTTCTGAATTCTCCATGTCCTTTTTTTCCTCTTTCCAAATTTATTTCATTGTATTATACTCTTTAAATAACATCGCCAAACCCTAATCTTCCCTATTACTGCTTATACTCTTACTACCTCTACCACTACGGGATTCGAATCGACAACTGCATCTCTGTGCTGAGGTGGTGTGGCAACTCGAACTGATGTACGTACGTACGAAGTTCTACGTTGTTGCTGACTGACTGACTGACATCCTGAAAAAGTAAGTATATATATTTGCAATTGTACAGCTTTGAAAATTAATTCGCCGAAAAGAAAACTCTTCGCTGAACCAATCTTTCTTATTTAATGTCTCAATGGGTGTATTCCGTTTACTAAAAAATTCCAAAGATAGATATCTTGCGTACGCTACTGGTGATCAAAGTTGGCAAAGTGCAGTTGAGCTTTTTCAATTCGTCCGGAAATTTCGTTAGACGTCAGCCCATCAAGGCCAGTAAAACTCCCAAGGTAAATAAAACGGTCTATGCACACGTCCATTCCACTCCCTATCACTATTTCGGGTGCTGATGTTGGCCAGTCCTGAGGTAACATTTTTCATCTGGACGGAGAAGGTCGCGTCCCAGACGTGCTTACAGTGTTGCTTAAGATGACCAGAATGCATTTTTCGATGTCACCACCAAACAGAACTATATCATCTGTGTATTCTAAGTCAGCAAGTAGATCTCCTGGTAGGAAATCAACCCTTGGAAAACCGGATGAGCTCTATCTCTAAAAGGATTTCAAGGACAAAGTACTGGTAATGTACTTATTATGAAAACGTAAGGCTATGTGTTTTTTGCAGGTTAGAGTTGAGAATCCTTATTGCTGAAGAGTATCATACAAAAATGAAATACTGTCCAATGTTATGTAGTTCTCAGTATTACTCAGACCGATGTTGTATTTTAATAAATGGCTTTAAAATAAGTTTTCGAATAAACAAGTGAAGTAGAAATACAAATATCAGACTTTTACTGACTGACACATTAAAATAAAACTTATTGAAATTATCATTATTCAAGTTAATTGTCTAGCAACCACAAATAGCAATCTTGATTTTGCAAGTTCGGATAAATTGTGATTTCTAGATCCGAAGAATGTTCTTGTAATCCAACGATGACGAATGTCAAGAAATGAGAATTTTTGCTAATATGATGTTCTAAGCTTAGTGCTAGGTACACAATGAGTAAATCTGTTTCTGTTGATAATCTTGAGCCCCACCGCTTAGTATTCAACTCCAGATATCGATTTTCTTACGGACCTTTAACGGGAGGTCTGTATCATCCGATAAGACTGAAAATAACATTTAACGACTTCAAGGTTTGACGTCATGTTGTGCTCTACTCCGCTAGTTAAAATAGCAAACTTGTGTAGTATATCTTACAATTTCATTTGATGAAGATTCCAACTGACTTACCGCCTCCACGTGAGTATGCTTTATTCAACGTTAGAGTAAGTCATTCGGAGGCTTCACCATTTTCAAGGAATCTTCGACAAAACATATATGCTCAAATATTTACAGTCTACGTAATCCTATTTTGGGAGACCTTGTTCCACTCTTACAAAATAATGTACATTCGACTGTTATGCAATTAGCGAATTATAAGTCTTCCAATCATTATTATTTATTTATTTGAACACAAATATTGGTACAAGAATGCGCCAAATATATATGCGCCACACAAAACAATGAGAATTTAAGGGGAAGGAAAAAAAGAGAGAATAATAACGAAGAGATTGATGTAAGGTGGTGTAATAATAATAATGGTAGAAATGGGGGAACGGAAAGATACAATCAGAAGTCTTTCAGTTAAGGAAGACACAACCACTTTTTATGAAGAATGTAAAAGAAGGTTACAGCAGGATCGCCACTGGCTTCTATTCTGAGCCATATCTGATAACGTCTCTAGCCACAGTGTCGCACCATCTCTCGGACCCCAACCAGGGAGTCGTGAAGGACCAACAGAAGCCAGTCCTTTGCGGCTTTCTTTCATACCACGACACCATGTCATGCACTGACCACCTCTCCGCTTTTCCCAACCATTCCCAGAATTCTCTGGGACGACATTCGTAGAACATGTCCAAGCCACTGGAGTCGGTGTTTCAAGATGGTGACATCATCATCATCTCTGTGCCCGAATACACGATGCCGAACCTCTGCATTACTAACATGGTGTTGCCACTGGATGTCAGCAATCCTTCGGAGACAGCGATGATCGAACACAGAGAGTCGTCTAACGTCCTCAACTCGGAGAGGCCAGGTTTCACAAGCATAGAGCAGAACTGCCCTCACCGACGCGTTGTAGGTCCGACCTTTTACAGCCAGACTAACATCACGAAGGCGCCAAAGGTGGCCCAGATTGGCATAAGCCGCTCTGGCTTTCACTATACGTGCATTGATCTCGTCACTCACGCCACCACCAGCACTTATGCAGCTACCCAGATACACGAACTTCTCGACTACTTCTACCTGATCACCATCCAGGGTGAGTACAGGATTAGAATCCTGCCAGTCTTGTAGAAGTACTTTGCACTTGGAAGGTGCAAAGCACATACCATATCTACGGACACTGATTGCCAACTGATTAAGTGCGGGTTGCATGACTTGGGCATTATCACACAGTACGACAATATCATCCGCATACTTAAGGTCGAGAAGTCTTTCTCCAGGCAACAGATCCACACCGCCACTACCTACATCCATCAGAGCTGTTTCCAGAATATCATCGATGGCAAAGTTGAAGAGAAATGGTGAGATTGGGCAACCCTGCCTAACCCCACTGCTCGAATAGAACAATGGAGAGAGGTGGTTGTATGCCCTCACTCTGCCTGAGGTGCTTGTGTATAGGGCTTTTGGGATGTTAATAAACTTCTCAGGCACATCCTTCTTCAATAGAAAATCCCAGAGAACAGTCCTATGCAGTGAATCGAAGGCAGCCCTGATGTCAAGAAACACTACAATTGTTGGCCTTTGAAAAGTATGGCGGTGTTCTAACATTTGACGGAGGGTGAAGATATGATCAATACATCCTAGACCAGAACGAAACCCAGCCTGCTCCTCGCGAGTCAATCTTTCTCGAGTTCTGAACAACATACGAAGTATGATGGAAGCCAATAGCTTGGACGCAATCGGAAGTAGACTTATCCCCCGATAGTTGTTACAGGAACGACGTGAACCCTTTCTAAAGATAGGGACAACTATCGACTCATTCCGTGATGTTGGAACACTCTCTAGCTCCCAGACCTTTGTAAACAACGTATTCATTTCCTTAACCAGAAAGTCACCACCATCTTTAAAAAGAGCCGGAGGTAAGTCATCTGGGCCAGGTGGTTTGTAGCGCTTCAAGAGTTGGAGTTCCTTATGGACTTCCGCCTTATTTGGTGGATCAGTCGTCACCGGCTATGGAGGGCAGGACAGTCTGACCGGTGTTGCCGGAGCAGCAGGCCAGTTGGACTGCCCTTCGAAAAATTCTGCCCATCGTCCAAGAGGTCGATGGATGTTAGTGATTGGCATCCCGTCATCCTCGCATATTATTTCACTCACACCAGACTTCTTGCTGCCAGTGGCTCGGATGAGTTGGAAGAGCTTCTGGTGGTTATTAGATGCAGCTGCTGCTTCCAGCTCATTAGCACGCTTCGACCACCAGGCTTCTCGGTCCTTACGCAAGCTTTGCCCAATTTCCTTACGTAACATCCTTCGTTTATGGTCAAACTCACGGTCACCCGGAGTAGACCGACGGGCTTCAATGAGTTGTAAGGAACCTGAAGAAACCCAGTGCTTATAAGCGGGACGTTTCGCGAACCCACAACTGACTGTACCCGCCATTTTCATGGCGTCATGCAATTGCAACCAATGCTCATCTATACTTTTCGGTGGAATGGTAGCTAGCCTAGAAACTAGCTCGGTTCAATACTTACTTGCAACAGAAGTTGCAACCAGCTTGCTAATATCAATCCGTTGATGGCGGTCACTTCGTTGTCCACTGAAAAGTAAGGCAAGATTGGCGCAGACCAAGGCATGGTCAGAGTCCAGATAGGTACTCCAAAAGGAGCGGCAGTCTTGTACACAACCACGCTAGCGGTAGCTGATCGCGATGTGATCAATCTGAGCCCAGGGTTGAGATGCAGAGGGAGGACGCCAGGTGGCACATCGGCGATGATTGTGCCGAAAGTTAGTGCTAGCCAAAAACAGGTTACGGTCTGTGCAGAGTTGCAGTAGACGTTCCCCGTTATCTGACCTGCAACCAACGAGTCCCCATCGGCCACCTAAACGACTCTCTCCTGTGCCTAGACGCCCGACCTGAGCATTCAAGTCTCCGGCTAGTACTACAATATCTGTCGAACGCACTTTCTGGAGAAGAACAGATAACTGGTGGTAAACTCATCCTTGATTGCATCCGGGCTGCAATCTGTCGGGGCATAGGCGGATACGACGAAAAGACGTCGTTTCTCACGCCGATTTCTTCTCACTTTGATGGAACTTTATAATCTAACAGCACATAACCGACTGTTAATGGGGATCCAATCGATTAGTGCTGCCTCAGCTCTAGCGCTTAGTGCGACACCAACGCCAGCGAGACCAGACGATGCCACAGGGTCCCCGGATAATCGCACGAAAAACAGGCTTTTTGAAGCGACAGATGGAGAACGAATTTGTAGTACTTCGCCAGAGTCTTGAATATGGGTCTCGGATAGACAACAAATATCAATATTAAGACTTTCTAAAGACATAGCCAGCCCTATCTGTTGTCCAACCTGCATAAATGTGCGAACGTTGAAGGCAGCCAGTTTGAATGGTGCACGTGGTTTCAGAAAGACTGCTTCAGTACTCATATTCGGTGATAACATACAATTTTCAACCGGACAGTGACTCGACAACATTTAGATACAGTCGAATTTCCACCAAAGACGAGCCGCTGTATGAGTATAAAAGAGGGTGAATAATGTGGTAAATAATAATAATAATAGTAATAATAATAATAATAATAATTTGTTTGTTAGTTGAAGCAAGTAGAGTAGTTTCCATAATTATAGGCAGTTCATTATATTTGTGTATGGGCTGTGATACTGCCCGGGTGCCCAGACCGAAGCAAGTGGTTATCTTAGGGGGCCACATCCCGAGCCTTTGACCTAAAGGTCTAACCCACAAGGCAGTGGAGCATCGTAAGGAGATGCAGTCCCATGGTAGCCGGTGACCGAAAATTGGTTCATACGCCATTTGTTCCCGCAGGATACTGGTGCCCATGCGCACCATTGGTTTGGGATCCGGTTAAGGCGCCGGACATTCGCTGTTCGTCCTCTCATTTTCGTAAACAACACCCCCGCCACGAGAAGGCAGTGAGTAGGACTTCCCTGGCAGAGGCTGTATACACGTGGCCGTGTGAGAGTATTTCGAGAGGGAGAGCGGACTCTCCCCACTCTCGGCCGTACCAGGGCATTCGGGGACTTCTCCTATAATGTGTGGAACGGTTGGATAGCAGCAAGACCGAATTCATCGAGTTTTAAGTCCTATGGCTAAGTCAAACTGCCAACTAAACTGTGGTTTTATGAATGGAATCTGTCTCACAGATAACTATCATCTTCAGATATCCCGCCTCCTCGAAACAGGATCAGGAGTTAGAAAAGGGTTACCACAAAAACATCACACCTCACTATAACTGATGGTTTTCATAGGGTTGATATGAAGTATGAACTTAAGTGCTGATACACAGAAAACTACTCACAAATAAGCGGTTTTTAGCTGACATCAAGCATCTGTCTCTTGAGCTCTGGGGTCGCTTTCCTAGCTTGACAAGAACAATGCGAACCAGATAGTATGAAGAACCGTTCATAGTATAAGCAGTTAGGAAGCGACAACCGCCTACACACCTCTAATAGCGCAACAGCTCAATTTGTTCATAGCCTGACCGTGTCCTGACTTCTTAACACTTTAATTTACACTATCAATCTTCTTCCTCGTGACTCATCGTTTTTATACACGTTCCACCAGTGACGAAATCGCATTCGAAGCTACGTGTTGGACTTTTCAGTTCTCAAACTCTTCCACAAATCGGACAATAGGCTTCATTAGCTAAGACTAGAATCTCATACCGTTGATTTATATCTAAATAGGACAGTAAAATCTCGGAAGGTTAGGAAAGTGCGCCTCCTTGTAGTCCTTACTTATGCTTCCAGTGACTGTAACTTGATTGAAGTGGAAGATGAGTTATACAGAATGCTTTCTACTCTTTAAGATACTAAGGGTTCAGGTATAGTTAATTGTAATGGGTGATTTTAACCGTCAAGTAGGTATCCTTCGATATCCTAGCCCGGTAAACTTTAATTGTTTGCTGCAATTATATTCAGACGACTTCATTTCTACCAAGCACCAACTCTAATCATTCAGAGGTACAGTTCGACCGTGGTCATATTATGACATAATCAGAGTCCGAACTTAATGACCATTGACCTCAACTCGACGATGTATACATATAAACTTTATTGCTAGCTGTCGCTATTAAAAGGGTGTCAATAGAAGACTACTGCTTCTTTTGAGGTGCCCAAATCATTCGTCTTTTGTTTTATTAGTTGTATTTTAAGCTGTTATATATTGCATGTTAATTAATTGATGCCATTTCATTTTTGTTTAATAAGGATCTTGCTTTAGCTCGTGAGCAAATCGAAAGCTTGTCTAAAAAGCAGTCCACTGATGAGTCACGTATCAGTACATTAACGTCAAAGTTATCTCAAGTTCAAGAGTCACTTAAAAGTGAGCAAAAGAAATCTTCATCGTTGAATGAAAATTTGAATCGTGTTAACAAGTCTTTGGAAAATGCACTAAAACAAGCAAAGGTCAGTTATTGTTGTAAATACATTTTCGTATTGATATATATTTAAAATTATCCCAGTTAAATTTCGACTCTACGCTACCACATTGGTAAACACTACAGTTAGAGAAAACTTACAAATACATAAAAATATAGGGAAAGCACCTGTGAAAATGTTTGAAATACTCCTTCACTGTTTGGGTTGATTTGAAGACGTTAGATGTAGTGCATCCAGTTTGCAATTGCAACCGTTTCTTTACTCCAGTGCTCCCATATTATTACAGTCATCTATTAGAACACTACCAATTGGTTGTTAAATAAAATTGTGTTGTAAAATGGGCTTTCTTAATTGTGATTTCATACTAACCTTAGGCTTGATAGTCCCCAGGAACTATTTATAAGATTTACATATAAATCATATAGTCGCTACATTATCTAGGTAGGATAAAGTGAATAACTACATTTGGGCCTCATCTCTCCGAAACAATATTCTTCTACGTACGATGGAGTTCCTGGTACATCTATTGGATCAAACTTTTGTTCTTGAAGTCATAAACGTGCATCCATTTTCTGGAATCGTAGGTTTATTTCGTGTGAATCCTATATTTGAAACCACCTTTCTATTTAAACACAAAAACCGTGGAACGCTATTCCAAAATGTCAGAAATATCCCTTAACGTGCGTTATTATACAGTGTCAAGGGAGCGGGCGTATTGATTGAAGACAGTATTCGAAAAGGATGTGGGAATCGTGATTGGGATTAATCAATTTATCTAAGCTTCGGGACTCGCAAGATAATTCAGTTTATTTTCGAACGGCAGTACACTTTCACTGAATGATTATGGGGTACGACTACTTGAAATGCTGGTAAATAATGTTAGATAAATATGTATTCGACAATCTTTGCATTAGAACAATTTTCTCTGTGTTGAGTGAGGAACCAAATATTCAACTTTAATGTTAAGCGTTTAGTTGAAGAGACAGAATATAATTTATCTGTTAAGTATGAGTTTATATAGATTGGGGTGACTATGGAAAACCCTATGCATCTGTGTTCTCAAGATCGTTGTCCGTTGGTTGTTCGTCGAGTTATATGAGCAATCAATAACCCATTAAAGTCAAACAAACTTTCTAGTCACAGACTGCGATCATTTTGTGGATCCAAGCTGGCCATTTTGGTCTGATCACACTTAGCCTCTTTCTAACTTACTCTTATGCTAGCAATCATATCACCTCTGGTAGGTGATAGGTAGTATTGTATTGAGATTCTGACCGAACTCATTAATCAGAATTTAGATTATAATTTTTCTACCTGGTATCTGCTATTCCTTGACCTTGACCAATGATACATTCTGGTCTGTTCAGTTAACCTTGAACTAACATAAGCTACACTCCTATTAGGTGCCTATCCACATGCCTTTATCTCCTGCTTTGAGTCTGGGAGAGTAGTCAGGAGAAAAGCTTCTACTATCATATTTCAATTACCTAATCCATCCAGTCAGTCAGCACTGTATTTATCTCAAAATTATCAGCTTATATACACGAATTACCAGACGTCACAGCAACCCAAATAAGAAATCATACGCGAACTACGGTCATGCCATAACTGGGGTAGAACGAAGCAACCGGTACATAATTAATTAACAATAATCAAGGAATACTAAAACTCACAACAATAGAAAAATAAGCCCATTGGAAGCTTACAACGAGAAAAAATACAATAATACAGTTATCTAATAACTATAAAATAAAGAAATATATGATCAGGACTCAGTAGCTAAGTGGATAACGCGATGGCGTTTGAAGCGAACGGTACTGGGTTCGAGTCCCAGAGTGAACACCAGCTATGAGATACAGGTACATCCAGCTGACGAGTCCCAAATAGGACGGAACGCGCGTCCTAGATTCCACTGCTAGCCACTATCCATCTTTGCCTATAATGCTTGTAAATTAAGGCAATATCGAGGCAATACGCACAGTATATACATATGCCAATAAGAGACTGATCAATTTCAGTCCTAATCATCAATGGGAAGATTCAAGTAAAACAATACCAAGTGAAATAAGCAATAATGGTTCGAAAACAAGTTCCAAAAGTTCTGACTTCCCCAATACTCGTTTCATTATAGTAGTAGCACTACTACAGTCGGTGTTCCCAGACTCCGCAATCGATTCATAATATTGTCTTAGTACATTACTTATAGTTTACTTACTGATTCCATCATAAGTGTTCAACGGTTTGGAGATATCTACATTCGAATATTAGCAATCTATCCATATCCACAACCTTCAGAGGTCATGTTTCACAGCCTTAGAGCATTACAGAACGAACTACTCAGGAGTATTCTTGTTTCTTGATAGACGTATTAACTTTCAGTTAACATCACTGATAATCCAAGTTCGCGAAGTGACAATTTATTCCTAAAATTTCATCCAGTAAGTCATGCCATTATTTTATACTTTATCACGTAAACAGGCTTACATGATATTACTCAGTCTTATTGTCTTGTCTTTTGTCTTCTAGTTTTTGTTCTCGATTTCGTTATGAATCCCATGTTGTAGCTATGAAAGTTTGAAAAATTGATTATAATTGTTTATTAGATTTTTAATTTCACAGTTGATATGTTTGTGTTATCAGGACGGAAAATTGATTAAAATATGTTTCAGATGGGATCATGTTGAAGTGCGCTCATTAGTCCTTTTTTGAATAACTTACTCCAGTTAGGAGGCCCAAAAGACTCTAAAATTTCCCTGAGTAAAGTTTATGTATAGACTGACAGTTTCTCATTACATCAAATTAACTTCTTTGCTTTGGAATATGTTTACGTTTTTGTCCAGGTCGTGTTTGGATTGTGCAACCAGTGTCCAAGAATACTGCACCGAAAAAAACATATTACTTTGTAATTTTGTTTCAGTAAAGATACGACAAATCAATAAAAATCAAAAGTCATATCAATTCGTGTTCAAATAAATATTTTCCACTTTTATTTCTTTTCCCGCTAATAGGAGGCTGAACGTCTTCGTGAACGTGAAGCTGAACGCCTCTGTTCTGAAGTTGCACTCCAGGAAGCTCAGACTAGTTTAAAACAACTTAGAATTGAAAACGACACTCTTAAGCAACAATTGAAAGCATTGGAAGATGTAAAAAGTGATCTTGAAAAATCTCAATCTCGTATAGATGAGTAAGTTGCAAAGGTGATCATTGTAATAACCAATAAATTCAATTCGGTAGTAATCTGTAATTCTAATTTATTTAGGAACATTTTTTCTTACTGCTGGTATCCATTCCAAATGATCTTTTCTAGATATTTATACATTTATCATAACATTTGCGCCCGAATTTCCTTTACTTCCATCACAATTGTTTCAAGTAGTTAGTTGTATACTTAAAATATATAACAATTTAGTGTTCTTACCGATTATTCCACCATCATCATAAATGACTGAACGTTTTGTAAGACCCCTTGGTATTTACAAAACCAGTCTCACTGGAATTCACACGTTCAAGATCTATGTTTTCGAAATTTAAATGTGAAGTTTTATTGCTTTGACACCCTGAGTTTTCTTGCGTGAACCTTCATATATCAATTTGGGCGTCAGGTTTATGTATATTTTGGAACACAAGGTACTAGTTGATGTTGTTGGTGCTTTTTTGGTCTAGGCACAAATTTACTTGATTTTACTCGTTCGTCAATTGTGGTAATAACAACTGTTTTAACAAGCAAGGATATGAAGAAAACTGTGAGATATATATCAATAGGTAAAAAAAGACTCTGGTAGATAAGTAAAGATGTGTAAGCTGTTTATTTTCCAAACTATATTTCTTCCTATCTCTTATTCTAGACTTACCAGTAAGTTATCATCCGCAAATGATTTGACATTAGAGTTACAATCATGTAAACGTCGCGTTGACCAACTATCAGATTTTACACGTCGTCTAACTGAACGCCACGCAAATCTACAAGCTGAGCATCTAGTTACGCTCAGTTCACTAGAAGAAACTAAAAATTTATTAATTGAGAAGGGTGACGAAATTGTACAACTCAACGAGAAGCATGAAAGTGAACGTAAAGAATCAGAAGGGAAAATGAATACACTTCAGTGTGAACTCAATGACTTATCTGTAAAGGTATTTGTTTGTATCTTATATTATGTGAGTTTAGTTGTCTTTAAATCAATCACAATACAAATGTAAAACAGCTCACAAATGTATGACGCAGGTGACGGTTCGCACTAATTACGTCTCTTCTACTTGCGCTATTTGGTTTTCATGTCTCGGTGGAGCAGTCTTATTGATTGTCTGGCCACTTCAGCGTAAGCTATAGAACATTTAGGAAGCGCGTGTCAAATAATTAAATTTTTTGTTAGATAGAGAGTATTAACAGATACAAATGTAATGATAGAGTCAATTCTACCATACTCTCATATCCTTAGGAAAATTTGCAGAAGTATTTGACAATTTAGATCACCTCATATTATAAAGAAATACAGAAACATTTCAATTCTCGACGTATCATCGTTCTTTCGTCTGAGTTACATTTAGGATAAAGATGGATTGAAATAAGGTGTTATATAAACACTTATTCTAAATAACTCCAATCATTGTTAACCAATTTGTTTGAAGTTGATTTTCATCACAAATTCATATTAATTGAAGGACCAGTGGCTGAATCGCATCATGTTCGTAATAAAAATTTAACATGCTGGTTTTCATAATGTGTGATTTTGTATGTGTGCTTTACTAAATTTCGAACTAGGGCAATTATCTACAAAATCCTGTCTAGTTACTATCACTTTTCGCTTGATATTAGAAGCTAGAAATTATCGTCAAACTACTTAAGCGATTTCAGTAGTATATTTTATTTATGGACACAAAGTGGCTTTTTTTTCGAATGACCAAAAAATATATATGGGATATATTCTCTTCTCCCTATGATTAGTTAAATAGAAATAATGATGATAAATGGCGTTGACTAACATCACCTTGTATTTCTAATTCTGATAACAGTTTGCTATAGGCCCTGATTATATTAAAAGTTTGAATAGTAAAGAGGCTTCACTAAGTTTATATTACTTCTGTTCATTACACCTGTTCATGACAAACACTGCCGCATAAGCTGTTTATCATTAGATTTGAATGCTGCCTTTAGGTTTCACAAAGTTATCGTTGAAACGATTTTGCTCATTAGCATTCGATCGATTGTAGTCTTTCACCAGTAAAGGGTTATGGAAAACTGCGTTTCATTGAAATCATGAACTGATCAGTGTTAGACCACCACTGAAAAATCAGAGGCACTGGACGGGCGTTTCATCCTCAGAAGTGCTCATCAAGCACAGGACCTTTGGTTTCGCGCGTGAACTCTTGACTTCTAGACCACTGAGCCGCCACCTGACGGTGTTAATGTTTAACGTCAACCTATTCGCAATATTACGCGACCGTCTTCTCGGAGTTCTAGTGAGAAACCGTGACCATTGGATTTCAACCGTCTCGGGTGTGATTCAGTTATCCACCAAAGACAATAGAGGACAGTTGCGCAATACCATGGACTGGTTAAAGTTCGATATCAGCACCGTTGGGTACCGACTCAGTGGTCTGGAAGTCAAGTGTTCACGCGAGAAGGCCCTGTGTTCGGTTCTCACGCGCTGGATCGTGGATGAGCCCTACTGCGGAGACCCATACTGGGACGAAACGCCCGTCTACTGCCTCTGGGTTTTCAGTGGTGGTCTAACATTGATTAGTTCGTGATTTCAACGATACGGTCTTTCAATATAGAATTCAGTTATCAATCCTTTTCATTATTATTTCAAGCTTGTTAGCATACAACATCAATAACTTAGTTTGTCTAGAGTGCTTTTCATATTTTTTTTATATGTATTCTTGTAAATATACCACCTATAGTTGAACCAACTTAATGAATCAGAGAATTGGCTTAAAATTCAGTTAAAGGAAGAAAAAGAACGTGCTACAGCCATTCGTAAACGTGATGCTGCACGAATTAAAGATATATCTCGTGAAGTAACACGTTTATCACATTATCAAAATAAAACAAATCAATCAGACTGTTGTCATCCAACAATTAATCCTCCATCCGATTTAGAAAATGAATCGAATTCAAAATCGTCTACGAATTCTTTAGATGGTTCACTGAAATCTTTGGACCTAACTCAAATTATTTCCGAGGTAAATTAAAAAAGGTTCAAATTGCTGAAATCATCTGTTTGATGTTTGTTTTTCAGAGAAAGTCCAACTGCAAATTAAATGTTAATATCGGAATAGAACTTTATAGAAAAGCTTCTTTATTTTGTAGGGCTTTTGTAATTAGCTTAATTTGTAAGTGGTGTTTATCACACAGTCATGTCAGCAATGGGACTATTGAATGGCAGGGAACTTCTCTGAAGTGTTCACTTATGACTTCCAGGGATAGAACTTAGGGATTTCCGGTTTCTCAGTGAGCATTTAGCTGTTATGCTACTGGATTGTCATTTAATGGTCAATATTTTCGAATTCAGTCAATTCGTGATATAGTGAGACAGTAATCCCATACCATTAGTAACGATTGTTTCACATTTGAAATTTCTGAAATTCATCGTTCACGATCCTTCACTAGGGCTTTAATAACACATCTAGAAAATCAGCCGTTAGTAAAACTGTTGCTAATAGAGACATGTCAGTGATTCACTATTAGGTCAGATAATCGGAACAGCGGTTTGAGCATTTCAACTCGCCTCCAGTTCTGCGATTGCCTGCTTTCCATTAACATCTTGAATAAGAAATCAATATCTGACCCATCTGCTAACACAGTTAAGAGAGCTGTAACTAGATTAATTTATTTTGGAGAAATAAACTTTGTTTGATTGTCGAGGTCTTCAAGGGTGGTTGTTTAGTATTGTCAGTTAGATTGACTGTAACAGTAGGTGGAGTTCTGAAGTTGGGCATAATCCCAATTGTCTGACCGTAATCGCTGTTCATTCCAGCTCATAAGAAAGGACTGAAATCTCTTATAATCATAGGCGGTTTATTCAAATTAATTTTTCGTTTAAAATCCTAACTTCCATAATCGTCATACGTACCTGTTTTATCTTCGGTTTAGGTCTACGGTAATTGCTAACTGCGGAACTGTTGAACTTCTTACAACATAATTGGGTTATTTGGAGAACTTGATAGAACCTCTACTGAGACAACATTTTAACGTTAATAATTCACGCTGTTAGGAGATAAGGAAGACGGGATTTTCGTGGAGACTTTCTATTTTGAATAAGAGTAAAAAAGTTAAAACAGAACAATCCCGTTTATATGGTACCACCCAATGACTTTGGGACGCAACACAATTAGCTAACCAGAAGTGATAACAACTAACCAGATAACGAAAAAGGTCATTAAGGAAATATTAATTAGAAAAATGTCCCCAAGGTTATCGTTTAATGAAAAATTTAGCATGTAACAACAAAGAACAGTTGAAATGAGGTTTCCCTAGCAGAATCTTGAGGACAGGAAAGTTTCATAATTGTGTTGTTTTGATTTAGCCTACCAACTAGGAAGTCGAAATGTTTGTCCATCTATCTACATATTCTGCAACAAATACTTCCGTATCACTTTACTACCGTAACACGCGTCCTTTAGTGGTTAGAGACATGCATGATGTATTTAGTATTTTATCCCGCGTTTTAAAAGTATGACTCGCGGATTAGGGAGTCACAGTGTGAACAATTCTGATGAAAGGAATGGAGTATTAGATAAGGGTAGTGAATCGCTAGCTAACACTGAACCTTCATTGATCAAGGTTGGTAGGACATATATGAAAGATAGTCATCACCTACTCTGAGTTGCTTTGCTGAACAGCACATTACTAGGTTGAAAGAAAGTTAAAGGCACCCAAACCAAGTAATGACATCGCTTTATAAATTCAGTGACTGTTGGCTCAATTCATGCTAAGAAATTCATAATTTATCGTTGTTATCCGTGAGATCATTGGGGGAGTTGAACAAAATGACGAATGTAGACCAATACTTAGCTCAAGATTCGAAGAAAAAAAAGAATATGTCTGAGCTATCACTACTCATTTTGAACCTTGTTTAGAATGATATGGTACGATAATATCCTGCTATTTCCTATTTACTGTATTAATGTAAAGCCTTAGTATTATAACTATTCTAAATTATGACAGATCCCACTTTGTTTATGAATAATTGAGACCTTGTCCATCAAATGGCAAGATAACATTCTCCACTGTGAATCGTTTTATAGTACATCAGGTAATGAAGACGAAGCATATATATATATATATATATATATATATATATATATATATATATATATATGAATGAAGCTATTTCAAGTACTGTTAGAAAGGTATGAAGGCAGTTTTCACTTCCTGGTTGTTCATACTGTCCTAACCACTCCTATGAATCCGGTGTTCATCTTGCTGTGCTAATGAGGTATGGCAGCCTGGACCAATGCATATATGTGCCTGGTCCTACGTTGTAGCTGACTGACTGACTGTTCATACTGTGGAAGGACGCTTGTTCTTGAAGTACTTGAAAAGGAAGCTGGATTTGATTTTTATTCAATTAGTCTTGTTAACTTGATCTCATCGTGTGGTATGTTAGCTTGGGCTGGCGCATATATTTACCAGACTACATTGATTATAGTTGAGTTTGATGTATACTCTAATACTTTATTCATTTATTTTTTACTTTCGGTGAACAATAAGCGAGAAAATGAAAAACTTGTTAGTCCTGTGTCAACACTACCAATGAAGATTGCAATAACTAACCAATTAGATGATTGTTTATCATCGTCAGTTAACAATAATAATAAAATTGATAATTGTGAATCAACCGTTGTTGAAATATCATCTAACTTCAATTGTTCAGAACGTGATGTACTTCTAGAGAAAATTGATCGTCTTCAACGTAGTCAAGTAAAATTAACAGATAAAATTGAATTTTTTCAAGAACATTGTTATCAACTTACAGAAGAATTAAATAAAAAAAGTAAAGTTATTCAGGTACTTATAAATGCCATTTATTTAATATACATTTTTCTTCAATACTTCATCCCATCATTTAATGATTCTCAATAGGGTTCATAAATAAATTAATATATACGTATAAATAATTGATTAAATATGTGATAATCCAATAATTATATTTGCTATTGATTGAGACCAAGAACCAATCGATGTTAGACCACCATTGAAAACCTGGGAGCACTAGACGTCCGTTTTGTCCTAATATGGGACTCCTCAGCAATGTGCATCCACAGTCCTGTTGGCGGAATTCGGACCCAGGGCCTTCAGTCTGGCGCGCGAGCGTTTAACCTACTGGACCACTGAGCCGGCATTCAACGGTGTTAATGTCTAACTTCAACCGATTAACGAAATCGCACGACCATCTTCCGTTGTACTGATGTAGATACCTGTCTACCTGACACAGATTAGCCCCACTGGCCACGGCTTCTCACTAGAACTCCGAAAATTCCCTCACGAAGCTAGTCACTGGCGAGTACATGGTTATTATCAGTATGGTGTTGTGGAGATTATTATGTTATTTATTGCGATTAACACCGTTGGATGCCGGCTCAGTGGTCCAGCAGGTTAAACGTTCGCGCGCCAGACTGAAGGCCCTGGGTCCGAATCCCGCCAGCGGGGCTATAAATGCGCACTGCTGAGGAGTCCCACATCAGGACAAAACGGCCGTCCAGTGCTTCCAGGTTTTCAATGGTGGTCTAACATCGATTGGTTCTTGATCTCAATCAATAACATAATAATCTCCACAACCTTATACTTACTTACTTACTTACTTACTTACGCCTGTTACTCCTCGTAAAGGAGCATAGGCCGCTCACCAGCATTCTCCATCCAACTCTGTCCTGGGCAATCCTTTCTAGCTCCGTCCAGTTGTAATTCATCGTTTTCATATCTGCTTCTATTATCCGACGCAATGTGTTCTTTGGCCTTCCTCTTCTCCGCTTCCCTTCAGGATTCCAAGTTAGGGCTTGCCTCGTGATGCAGTTTGACGATTTGCGTAATGTATGTCCTATCCATTTCCATCGTCTTTTCCTAATTTCTTCTTCAGCTGGAAGCTGGTTTGTTCTCTCCCACAGAAGGCTATTGCTGATGGTATCCGGCCAATGGATGTTGAGTATCTTGCGTAGACAGCTATTTATAAATACTTGTACTTTCTTGATTGTGGTTGTTGTAGTTCTCCAAGTTTCAGCTCCATACAGTAGAACTGCCTTGACGTTCGTATTGAAGATTCTTACTTTGATATTGGTTGAAAGTTGTTTTGAGTTCCATATGTTCTTCAATTGTAGGAAAGCGGCCCTTGCTTTGCCGATCCTCGCCTTTACGTCTGCATCGGATCCTCCTTGTTCATCGATGATGCTTCCCAGGTATGTGAAGGACTCTACATCTTCCAGAGTTTCGCCATCAAGTGTGATTGGATTGCTGTTCTCCGCTTTGAATTTGAGGACCTTAGTTTTCCCTTTGTGTATGCTGAGGCCTACTGATGCAGAGACTGCTGCTACACTGGCTGTCTTCATCTGCATCTGTTCGTGTGTACGTGATAGGAGGGCTAGGTCATCTGCGAAGTCCAAATCGTCTAATTTGTTCTGAACTGTCCATTGTATTCCGTGTTTTCCCTCAGATGTTGAGGTCTTCATAATCCAGTCGACCACCAGAAGAAAGAGGAAGGGAGAGAGTAAACAGCCTTGTCTGACTCCGGTCCTTACTTGGAATGCATCTGTCAGCTGTCCTCCATGCACTACTTTGCACTGTAGTCCGTCGTATGAGTTCCGGATAATATTGACAATCTTCTCAGGAACTCCGTAGTGTCGAAGAAGTTTCCATAATGTCCTCCTATCTACACTGTCGAATGCCTTTTCATAATCAATGAAGTTGATGTATAGTGACGAGTTCCACTCAACTGATTGTTCGACGATGATCCGTAGTGTTGCAATTTGGTCTGTGCACGACCGATCCTTACGGAATCCAGCTTGTTGATCTCGAAGTTGGGCGTCTACTGCATCCTTCATCCGGTTCAGCAACAATCTGTTGAAGACTTTCCCTGGTATTGACAGTAGTGTTATGCCTCTGTAGTTTTCACATTTGCTCAGATCTCCTTTCTTTGGAATCTTGACGAGGTGTCCTTCTTTCCAGTCCATCGGCACTTGTTCCTCCTCCCAAATCTTTTTGAATAGAAGATAAAGCATGCTTGTGGTTGCTTCGATGTCTGATTTCAGTGCTTCAGCTGGTATGTTGTCGGGTCCCGCTGCTTTCCCGGTTTTGATTTGTCTGACGGCCATTCTAATTTCTTCCGTAGTTGGTGGATTGACATCTATAGGAAGATCTATGTGTGCTGCTTCGATGTTCGGTGGATTCATTGGAGCCGGTCTATTCAGGAGCTCTTCGAAGTATTCTACCCATCTGTTACGCTGTTGTTGAATTTCGGTGATTGGCTTGCCTTCTTTGTCTTTGACCGGCCTCTCTGGTTTACTGTATTTCCCTGATAGTTTCTTCGTTGTATCGTAAAGCTGTTTCATATTTCCTTCTCTAGCAGCTTTTTCTGCCGTCGTTGCTAGTTCTTCCACGTATTTCTTCTTGTCGGCTCTAATGCTCCTCTTCGCTTGTTTGTTTGCTTCTATGTATTCAGCTTGTGCTTGGACTTTTCCTGCTCGTGTTCGGCTGTTGTTTATTGCTGCCTTCTTGTTCTTCCTTTCTTTGATCTTGTCCAGTGTTTCTATAGAGATCCATTCCTTATGATGGTATTTCTTTAGACCGAGAACCTCTTGACACGTTGAAGTTAATGCTTCCTTGATGCCTTTCCAGTTGTCCTCCATAGTAGTTTCGTCTTCTTTCAGTAGATCTTGTAAGGCTTGGAACCTGTTGTTGAGAGCTATCTTGAATTCATTGAGTTTGACAGTATCTCTAAGGAAGGCTGTATTGAACCTTTGTATTGCTGTTTGTCCACTTGTCCAGTTCTTTTTTAGCTTCAGTTTCAAATTGGCCACAACTAGGTGGTGATCTGAAGCTACGTCAGCACCTCTCCTGGTTCTCACATCTTCCATTGTCCTTCGGAATTTTTTGTTGATGCAAATATGATCTATTTGGTTCTCTGTAGTGTGGTCCGGTGAGATCCATGTAGCCTTGTGTATACGCTTGTGTGGAAATATTGTGCCTCCTATGACCAATTTGTTGAATGCACATAGATTTGCAAATCTTTCTCCATTTTCGTTTCTTTCTCCCAGTCCATGTCGTCCCATAATATCTTCATATCCAGTGTTGTCTATTCCGACTTTGGCATTTAGATCTCCCATCAGAATAGTTAGGTCCTTTCTTGGGCATTTCTCAATGATTGACTGCAGCCGCTCGTAGAACTGATCTTTAATTTCGTCGTTGCTATCATTGGTGGGTGCATAACATTGGATAATATTCATTAAGATCCCCTCCTTTGTTTTGAATGATGCTTTGATGATTCTGGATCCGTGAGATTCCCATCCTACAAGTGCATTTCGTGCTACTTTGGACAGCATAAGAGCGACTCCCTGAGTGTGTGGAGCATTGTCCTCTTCGTGACCGGAGTGTAGCAGCATCTCTCCCGTAGCTAGCCTTTTCTGTCCAGTTTGGGTCCAGTGGGTTTCGCTGATTCCCAGTACTGCTAAGTTGTATCTCCTCATTTCCATTGATATTTGACTGGTCTTCCCGGTTTCCCACATTGTTCGAACGTTCCATGTACCTATAAAAATTTTTGCTCTGGTTGTTAGAAGGGGCATCGGCCTCGTGGCTTCCGAAGGAACTCGGCTTTCACCATGAAGCGTCATAATTCTTCTAAATGAAGACCTTCTAACTCCCAGGGCAGAGTTAAAATGGTTTGGATTATTTTTTCTGGTAAGCGTTTTTTTAGCGAGTTAGTTTTCTACGGGATGGGGACGCTAACCCCATGCCCAACCCTCCTCCTTTACCCGGGCTTGGGACCGGCAGCAACCCTATAAGAGCTACAGGCGGAGTTCCACAACCTTATACTGATAATTATATTTGCATTCATTAGATTTCGCAGTTGTGGATATATTTGCCCTGAGTTTTATAAATTTACAATCACAAATAAGCTGATGTTAATATCATTAATTAGTAGTTATATGCTGATAAATATTATTCTTTATAATATAATATTCATTTCATTTAACTTAGAAAGGTAGTGCACTGCTGAAAACTTGTACATTGAAAAAATTAATCATAACGGCTATTTTTTTCTAATCGTTGTACCATACAAGAAAAAACTACATATGCCTGTAAGTGACGGCATAATTATAGATATTTGCAAATGATAGACGAAATTCATACTATTAATCTTAAAATTGGTATGTAAATCTAATCTAGCTAAACTGTCTGGACAGTTTATAGTCAGTCTAATTAAAAATAATTGCATATTTCTGTTTACTTTGTGACTGTTTACGGAATGTCATTATGTCAGAAGTATTTTGTACCAATTTTCGATAATATTGAAGTGTTTTTGCGTGACAATCTTCTCAAGTTATATAAAGAATCTAATCGTCAAATGCATTTATACCGGTGGAAAATTGACAAAATTTGTGATAAATAGTTTAAAGGATATTTTCTCCTTGTTAGAGGTAGAAATTTAAAGTAATCGAATCTGATCAAATGATAATCAAAGCTATTGTGTGCATTTCTGCTTTTTTTGCAGACTCTAACCAGAATGTATTCTTTATAATTTCATATATTGCTTGTTTTGATGATTCATCCTTAACGCCTAGATGCTTGCTGCAGTGTTAGTGAGGTTTTTATACGAAGAAGAATAAAGTATCCACCAATCTACGGAAGTCTTGCTAACGCTAAACAATTGTCGTAATGGTAATATAAAATTGCATAACATTGTTTGACGGACGTAGTATTCGAATCAATATTCTTAGGTATGTAACTTTAGATCAATAGTTTGGGGACTTGATATTCATCATTCGGTTCACGCGTCCAAAATCTACCCTCATGTATCATATTGTTTGGTTAGGTGGGTAGCATTAGCATTCTTAATCAATTTGTATGGTCGAAAGTCTTGTTAATCCATCCAAATTATACACTTTAAGTTGACTTTTTTTCAACCCACTCAATATATATATATATATATATATATATATATATATATACTGATTGATAATAATAAGGTTCTCATCTCAGTAATATTTTTTAACGGTTCACTTTTAGAATCTCCTTGTTTCAATCGATAAAAATTGTGGATCAACAAATTCATTTATTAATGATAATAATCATAGTAACAGAAAAATGTTAAATGTTAGTCAGAAATATAATTCGATTATATCTTCATTATCTAGTGGCAGTGCCAAGACAAAAACTGCCGATACAGGATCATGTCTTGGTGATAATACTCAAAAACTTCAAAATTTACTAGAAGATACAGTATTTAAGAATATCACATTGAAAGTATGTGCTTTAAATTATATATATATATATATATATATATATATATATATATATACTTTTTAGAATAATTCCGGTCCTGGTTATCATCGTGATACCTTAGATTCATGAGTAATTATTTTTAAATCCAGTTACAAATGTCTGACTCATTCATTTTTCTGAAAGCTACGTGTATATATAGTTTTGCAGAAGATTTTTCAGAGGTCTGGATACTGCTTTTCATCAAATCAAATGTTACAGAATATCTGTCTTGTTTTATCTAACAAACATGTTTCGCTGGAATTTTATATCACATATGCGAAAAAAACTAGTCTTCTAACGTGCTAACATTCTTCACTTATACTTCTCATCTGAATATTCCTATCACTTGAAATAATGATGTTATTCATATAATCAGTATTTAGGCATCTTTTAATTCTATGTTTAATTTGATCTTAGTGGATAAGTCGTCCGACAGTGGTTGTCTTTCTTGACTTGAAATCAGCATTTGCCTCTGTTGACCGAGAGGTTCTGTGGTAGTGTCTCTCACTGAAAGGCGTACATCAGGCTTATGGCGAACTGTCATATGCTTTTACAACCTCAATTGGTGTCCGTCAAGGCTGTCCACTTTCCCCGTTTTTGTTTAACTATATTATAGACCTACTGATGGAAATAACGCTCTCGTCGACTGAATTTTCGGGCATTGATCTCCTACTAGGAGGTTCAATTATCGACTTGGAATACACAGTTGACATAGTCCTGTTTGGTGAACACGCTGATAAAATGCAGAGTGTTGTGGTAGCACTGAACAACAATGCCAGAATGTTTGGTATGCTCTTCTCCTCCTCTAAATGCAAGTTGTTGCTTCAGGACTGGTCTGCATCAACACCTGAACTAAGGACAGAGAGTGAAGTAGTCGAACGCGTTGACAACTTCACTTATCTCGGAAGTCTGGTCAGCCCTAATGGGTTGGTGTCTGGCGAAATCTCAGCACGGATTCGAAAAGCTCGCTTGGCTTTTGCCAACTTGCGTCACCTGTGGCGAAGGCGAGATATCCGTCTATCAATAAAAGGACGTGTATACTGCGCGGCAGTCCGTTCTGTTTTAATTTACGGCAGCGAAACATGGCCATTAAGAGTAGAAGACACTCGTAAGCTATTAGTATTTGACCACAGATGCCTTAGAAATATTGCTGGCGTCTGCTGGGATCACCGGGTAAGTAATAGTGAGGTTAGACGCAGGGTATTAGGGAATGATGGTAAATCAGTTGATGAGGTTGTGAATTTTTATCGACTGAGATGTTTGGGTTGTGTGTTATATATGCCTGAAGACCGATTACCACGACATGCAATGTTAACGGGTGTTGGGATGGTTGGAAGAAAGTTAGGAGCCGCCAAACCAAAACGTTGTGTGGCACTTATATATCTGGTGCCCCTTGTGCCAATATTTATATGTTCAGGTAAATAAATAAAACCAAAACGTGGCATCAGTCCTTGAAGTCACTCATTTCTAGTCTTAGCCATGTTGGTAGATGCAGACTACTTGGTTGTGGTCCACGTGACTATCGTAACCAATGATTGGAGACTGTGGGTGACATGGCTCAGAATTGATCACAATGGAGTCGGTGTATACACTCTCTGTCTTTTAAACTATGCGATTAAAATTGCATTATATCTTTCTTTCTACGAACTAATTTTTTCTTCCTGTACTACATCCTGATGCACAATATTTCTTTTATATATTACCACCATTGAAGTAACTACTTCTATTAATTTGGTGTTTCTCTTGTTGTGCTAATGTGTGGCAACTTGGACTGATGCATATATGTGCCTGGTCCTACGTTGTAGCTGACTGAATGGATAAGTCATTCAAAAAGGGAATTAAATATCCTGAAGATGATAATTTTAATCCTACTGTATTAACTAACAGAACATTACATTGTTTGTCAGTGTGTTGTTTGTTTATTGTCGTAGGAAGCTTGAATAGTCTGGCTATTCATCATTCAAAAATTATCTATCATAGATCACTGTCGTAATCGCATTAATCCACCTCCTCTAGATAAGATTAATTCAGATAAGTAAATTTCCGTTTTATGATTTCTAATGTGTTATAATTTGTATTTCTGAAATTTTAATTTATTTTTTCAAGGAAAGTTTAAATAAATTGGGCTTAGAAATATCCAGTTTACGTTTAACTCATGGACGTATACTAAACTCCGTTTGTGATTTATGTAAAATAATCATTGAAGATATACTTACAGCATCGGAAAAATCTATTCATCAATCACAACACTCAAACAATCATTCAGAAACGCAATCAAAGTCAGAACCACCAATATTTCAAAATGGTGGTGTCAATGCATAAAACAGAAATTCATCTCCCTATTGTGGTTACTACTGTTAAATATATTTTTTCTGATTACTACTTTAACCTTACAAAAATAACCATATTATTGAATCAAGATATTAATTGTCCATAATTAACTTTCCAGAGTATAAGATAAAAAAGAAGGCCGAATCTATGTGTTGAATCATATTTTGATGCACATTGATGAACATAATAGTCTCAAGATATTTTACTATCCGTTTAACTCTCTCTCTCTCTCTCTCTCTCTCTCTCTCTATATATATATATATATATATATATATATATATATATATATATATATATATATATAATGTGAAATATGAAGGATGCTGCACAGTGCACTTTCATTTGTTCCTCTTCATTTCCCCCTTTTTTTGTTCCACCTGAAATACTTCTTATCGATTATAACACTCAATGTATTCTGACAGCTTTGTATTGTTCTCATTCATTATTATACACTGTAATAATAATCTTTATAATTTCTCTAGTATCTGTGATGTCTTTATGAGCATAAACTAATATCAACAATCATCCATTGAATGTTTTTCTTTTGAGATTACTTTTTACAAATTATGTTTGGTTTGTTTAGTTTTAAGAAAAAAAGAAAGAAAGAATTATTTTCGTTGTTTACTTGTTATCCTATTTTATTGTTTATGTAAATAATGATATCTCTTGAATCGAATTCTTGTCAGTAGTGTATCATACATATTTTAACTAAGTAATGCATACATGATGAGTACAGTTTTCTTTTAAAAAAGTTTCTCGTACAATCGATCAATTTCATAATTTTTTTTCTTTGTAATTTCTTATACTTAATGGTTTTTACCGCTTTTAAAATGTCTACAAATGTAATCAGTTTTATAAATACTGTACAATATGTTCAATAAATTTTAATATTACCAGAGTATATTATTTTCATTAGTTAAATCTGAAAAGGGGAAATTATCATTTTCTTTCATATAGTTTATTACATAGCTCGTATAAGATTTCAATCATTCGAAACAGTTAGTCATATACATATATAAAGTTAATAAAATACTGGGATTTGTTCGGTCTTCTTTTTTTTAATGACAACAATGAAAATAAAATATTTACGATCAAGTTTTTCAAATCTGAAGTTCTTGTTAGTTGTTTTTTTTTCAACATTTACTACATTTTGTGCTGTTGCTTTCAATTTTTTTGTTACCTTGAGCATGAATATCAAAAATAGTGAAAATTCCAGCAGCAGCACCTATGCGAGTCGTATTGATTATTTTTATATCTATTTGTATTTTTTTTTCAAAACAGACTTCTAATCCCATCAGTCATTTCCAACACTTTAGGTTCACTTCGAAAGACTAGTAAAATTGTCCCTTCAATTTTATATTGGATTACATCTTTTTATGGATAAGGTGATAAGTCTTAATAAACTGTGATATTTCTCATTTTGAATGTCCTTTATTTCTTGAATGCATATTAAAAATCTGTATTATCATTTTTTAAAGCTTAGTATGGAGGTTTTGGTACTATACAGCAGAGCATGGTGATTAGAAAATAAATCCACGTACATAAAGGTATTATTATGTCAAATGAGGGGGGGGGTAGTTTTAACAATAGATTGTCAGGTATATGTTCAGCCCCCCTCCCTTTACATGGGTCTGGATGCCCATGTATTATACCTAGTCGTTATATAAAGAAGTGAAGCTCAAAGTTTAATTTACTAGCCTGTACTTAGTTATTGAGCGATGTCTTGACTAATTACCTGAAAATTGCAGCTGAGTAGTTCAGCACATGGAAGTATTGAGACTGATATATTTTCGTAAGTTTAACTATAGTATTCACTCAGTTATCATCGAATGATATAAAAGGTGAGTGATCGGGAAGATCTTGTCATCCAAATATTCAAGTACAAGGATTTGAATCATAAACAGTTAACTTTTGATGTTAGACATGAAATACATGGTCGGACGTTGGATTAGCTTGTTGTTACAGGACTTATGTTGAGAGATTCACGGATAGTGGCTTTGAAACCAAATAAAACTGATTGAAACAATGACTACTGTCGGATTATTTTAAGAATACAATGTCGAACACGTTTTGAGTTCAGTCGCTTTAATTTGAATTTGTTTAGGATACACCCGATAGACTCCGTAGAAGTGTACGCCTACATATAAAAAAATCCAATGTATGCAATTAGTAATGCAAATCTTGAACTTAGTATGAAGGAATATTCCTTCAAATTTTTAAAATCATTACTGTGAAGTTGTACATCTGGGAATATTATAATCTTTCTAGACATCATGTGTATATTAATCAACATTCGATGAAAACAGTGTATCCACTAGATTTAAGAACCTAGATGGCATATCGAAAATGGTTGTTAAGGGACTTCTTAAAATAATAGTTGTTCATTTCACACTACATATCCTTACATCATTGGTACAGTGAGTAATATCAACTTAGTTCATTAGTTCTCAGGTATTTCATAGCATTCATCATTGTTAAATTAGCAAATTATATGATTGAGGGGTACAAGAGCTGTGTCCGCGTAAAACCTATTGTTTCTTTTTAGAAAAAGGTTCAAACTGCAAAATACTTTAGACAGTAAGAGTTCCCCTCTTCTCCATGTCACTCTGAAATGTGAGTCAAAATCAAATTTTTTCCTTAGTATTTAAATATCAAGCAGAACTAATAGGATTTTCGAGACTAACTTGTCACAAAGCCACCTAAAATGAACAATTGGCTGCTCTTTGCGGCTTCGTTTATTTCCTTCGAAGTAAACTGCTAATATATTCTGCTACACATCATTCATCAAAGCAATAAACATACTATAGAACTCAAATGTACAACCCATTTAGGTTTATGAACAAATTCAAGATCTGGAAATGTAATACAGTATATGCAGAAGTTTGAAATGAATTACATGAGATAATATTGCATTAGGTAGTAAGTGATTATTATATAGATAAAAACTATATAGGGAAGTCGAATCTCTTATCATTGCTTCGATTATTTATACAGGACCTCACTGTTATCTTTAATCATGAATTATAATTCAAAAGTCATGAACTATAAATGAGCTATGGTTTCAGACTATTCATTATTCACGATAGAAAACTTACCTAGTTTATATAAAACTAATTCAAAGAAAAAGATAATAATTGTTAAACATGTTTTATCACGAATCCAGTTTGATAAAACAATGTCAAACTATAGGTCGTCTACAATTTATCGAGTTGTCCAGCATTTATTCAATTCATCACTGTTCTTATTTTACCAGGTCACTTTTGACATTTGTATTTATAAAAAAAGCAACAATAACAATAAGTGATCAAAGCAAACTCAAAAAGAAATGTCATATTAATAATAATGTGTGTATTTAGTAACTATAATTGAATTAGGCTAATTATATCTAACATTATTTCTGTCATTAGCGAAATTTATTAAATGGCCAAGATTAACTATGAGAAAATTACTTTTGGCCAGCATGTCTGGTACTTGTATAATAAGGAGTTATTAGAACTACTATAGAGTGTTTGTAGAAATTGGTAGATTTTGTAGTTAACATTACGTACTGATCTTGGGCAATAAAAAACCCAGAGTGCACTGGATATCTGTTTAGTCTAAGTATGAGACTTATGAACAATGCTTAATCAAGATAACTGAATCCTGTGAACGATCCTTGATGAAACCATGGATACTTACTTCTAAGGCGTCATATAATATAGGACGAAGCAAATGTCCAGTACTTCCTATTTTTCAATGGTTGCATAACTATGATCAGTTCGTGATTTTAGCTGTGAAATCAAATAGGACTATTTGAATTGACGTTTGATATCCTTTACTTCAGCTTTAATGTTCTGAAAGTCACTTTTAAGCTAAATAACTTTAAATCTTCGATATAGTGTGACTGAAATTATAGATATTGTATCTATCTAGCATTAGTAGTCATGGTATCATATTCTAGAATTTCCCATAATTCACAATAAAATGAATTTTCTTCCAAATGTAGGTTTAGATACTGACACTAATATTTGTTACTGTAGGCGTTTGTGGAGATTGTTGAATTTCGCACTTTTCATCATGGACTGGGTATAGACAACCACTAAAACCCAGAAAGAGCCAGATAAATGTTTCGTTATTCCCGAAGTTCAAGGGCGAAGCTGTTTCCAGTGGAGTTCAACCGTTACGAATTTGGATAACCGTCTATCAATGGCATTGGAAAACGACTCAGCACTATTTCAGGTTGATTGAGTTTAGACAAGTAAACTACTGGATGCTGGATCAGTCGTTAAACGCTTGCTACGTGTTCTGATGTTCTTGGATCAGATCTCAGATGGAATCCTAAATTAATGCTGCTGGAAAGTCAAATAACTGGACTAAATAGCCATCCAATGCCTCTCGGTTTCCAATAGTTGTCTAAGATCAGTCCGTAATGAAAAAGATATTCGTATTTCGAACATCGCATTTAAGTATACTATGTTTGCTGACTGAGGCATCAGATTACATTTTTTCTCATTTTCATTTACTATGATCGAGTAAAATATCAGTTTAGATTAGTACTCTTCATTAATAGCAACCTACGTACAGTCTAAACTGGACATTATTGTAAGATGCCAACACTGATTGTCTGAAATAATGACTCTTAATCGGTTGAACCTTGTAGCCGGATTCAAATGTGCTACTAATAAACTATGCCAATTATAACAATATTGTATGCGTTTTTTCTCTGGATAATTTTCAGTAATTATTAAACTATATATCTGAACTAATTACTATTGTGAGAACAGCCTAGATGGGTGTTTTACTGTGTAAATAAACAATGTGAGTGCAACTTGATAAGTCTTGCTAATTGAACTCTATGTTCGGTTCCTAAGCTATTCTCGTAAGCCTCAAGCTAGAACTATACAGCGACCTGAACACGAGAGAAAAGGCGCAAAACATGCGAGAAGCGCTTTACTCCAAAGGTTCGTTTTCGTACAAAAAATATAGGGTTTTTATAATATTTTAGATGTTCTTGGGTTTCCCGAAAATTCTGGGATGCTACTAAACAAAGTGGCAGTATAGTAATCAGCCAATCAGAAACTCTACATGTGACTTTTCACTTGATGCTTCTTGATGTTCCTGGGTAAACTTCTGATGGACGCTGATAGGATAAAATGCTTCTTAGTATTTCCTGAGCCTTTCTTATCTTTTGCGAGAAGTTTTTTGGATCACCCCAACACAACTCCACCGTATTAGGATACTGGAAAATGTAAAACAGAGTATGATTGCTAAATTATACAAATTTTAATCTCAAACATTTTTATAAGCTATCCAACCAACTTTTAGAATTAAAGGATTACATACTTGTGAGGAATAAGGGTTACGTGACTGTTCACTATGACTGTCTATTCTTCTGAATCCTTTTAAAAGTTACACAGATTTCTAATTAATCCATATTATTGATTGACTTAAAAACAATCATATTTCTGATTAGTAAAGATTAACATTTCAATATTAGTGAAGAAAAGATATATGATCACCATAGAGAATGGAGTTTTTTTAATCAATACACTACTAATCTAACAAGTTACATGCTACAGTTTTATGTGTGCTTTCATTAAAAAAATGGTTATTATTAGCAAACACAAATTTTAATAACAATAATTAATTTATTTAGTGTTACATTTTGTTGCAGTAAGAAGTTCTCAACATCACTGATTCAAGGTTACAATAATTTTTTTTTCAGTGTATATTTAAACGGCAAATAGTCGAATCGAGGACAGTTGACAGTCGCATTCCAAGTGAGGACCAGAGTCAGAAAAGGCTGTTACTATCACCCTTTCTCTTTATTCTGGTGGTCAGCTGAGTGTTGAAGACCTCGACGTTTGAGGAGAAAAGTGGAATACAATGGATAGCTCGGAATCAACTGGACAATTTAGACTTCGCAGATGACCTGGCTCTTCTGTTCCATACACACCAACAAATGCAGATGAAGACAACTAGTGTAGCAGAAGCCTCTGCATCAGTAGGCCACGACATACACAAGGAAAGAGCGAGATCTTCAAATACAACACAGAGAACATTAACCCAGTCACATTTGATGGAAAAGCTCTGGAACAGGTGAGAACTTCCACATACCTGGTCAGTATCATCGATGAACAAGAAGGATCTGATGCGGATGTAATGGTATTGATTGATAAAGTGAGGGTGGTATTCATACAGTTGAAGAACATATGGAACTCAAAACAACTGTTTGTAAGCCAACACCAAAGTCACGATCTTCAATACGAATGTCAAGATAATTATACTTTTCGCGACTGAAACTTGTACAACTACTACAAACATCATCAAAAATGTACAAGTATTTATAAACAATTGTCTACGTAAGATGTTAGTTGATTGGATACCATGAGTAACAGCCTATTGTGGGATAGGACAAACCAGCTTCCAGCTTGAGAGGAAATTAGGAAAAGACATTGTAAGTTGATAGGACGTGCACTACAGAAATCAAACTACATCACAAAGTGTTAGGTCCCGATAAGTATAATGAATGGCAACGTTTGGGATCCATTATGAACAAATACTATGCGTATATTTTTATCGTATAATTGTTATGTGACTAAACCATTCATACCCGTGTCCCACTTATTATGAGCTTTTTTTGACCCATGAACTATTACTATACGATTTGCCATTCTTGAATTATGTCCTGTCTATTAATTACTACCTCCCTCATCCACAGCCACATTCGGCTAATTCTTGTACAAATGTTATTTTTTTGTTTTATGGCACGATGTGGTCTGTCTGGTTGGTATATAAATCCAGTATGCTTGAAATAAATGATTCATGTTGCAGGGCCTGAGATTGGTGTTCTGGGCTTGAATAGCTGGGCTAGGCGGAAAGCAGAAACAATAAGGACTCTAGACTGCTCGTATGGGTTTTATGGGTCACTGGTAAGATAGATAATTCACTGCTCCTTAATTGGCGGTATCGTTACGTTATCCATCAAAAGGGCACACAGGCCACAAGTTATAACACAGAGAAAGCGTCAACTTGGAATCTTGAGGGTAATGGAAAAGAGGAAGACCAAAGAGCACACTGAGTCGAGAATCAGAAGCACAGATATGAAAAAGATGAATAGCAACTGGAAAGAACTCTAAAAGATTGCTCAGGGTAGAGTTGGATGGAGAATGCTGGTGGGCTGTCTACGCTCCTTCCTGAGGGGTAACAGGCGTAAGGAAGCAAATTGTCGAATTATATCTTAAAATATCTTTTTCAACAAATTATGTCTCACTTATCTTTAGTCACAAATTTATCATACCAACTCAACTAGTACAACTATTTTTCATTAATTATATATATGATCCAAGAATTCAGATGTAGTTGTCACTCCCATGGATAAAAATGGAAGGCAATATGCCGACAACTAGTGTTTTGTTAGGGTTTTCCTGTATTTAAAGTCGTAAGAAGTTAATAACATCCAATGAAAGCTGGTGAGTAAACACGGTTGAAATACTTGATTATTCAATTAAAATTAGTTCAAAACAAAATGATTTATTGAAATACCTGGACAGTTAAAAGATACACAAAACAAAGATTTCGCTAGGATACTGAAGCTACGTTTAGTAGAATTTCATTAAAGTGAAGTTATGACCATGGTATCATTGGCATTTTTCAGTTGCATGAGTAGAAGTTGAAGTTCGTGATCTTTAGTCTACTGGTTGGAATCCTATTCCAACCCAGGTTTTCTTTCAACTTTCTTTGTGTTATATGACGTTAATAATAACTAAAAAATTTTCTTTATGCATGTTGCCATGATTTTGACACAATAATAATAAGACATTTTGCTTGAAAGTGTACTTTACTTTACAACTTTCGGTCCCATTTTTATTGCTTCGAAGATACGAATCATCCTCAATAGGCATTTACAGTAATGTTCATCCTTTCTTCTCATCCCATAACAATAAACCATAGCGCAAACTTCAGAACTGACAGATACTTTTCGGACACCCCAGGTTTTCATTTTATTTTGGCTATTCATACCATATTACGTTGTTTGATAACAAAATTATTGAATGACACTGTACAGTTCTTACTGCATTCAAAGTTGATTTTAGATGTTAAATCTTCATAAATGATGGAAAACGGTCAATATTTTCCGTATATTTCCCCATTTAGTACAGTTGTTACATGGTAAGGATAAACAGAGGGGACTTGGTTGATTTATAATATGTTAAGCTTTTGTTTTATCTGACTGTTCAGAGAGCATCAAGAACTAGATACAATTAATGTTTTAAAGTAAATAGTCTACATTAAACTGGAGGTTCAAGTTCAAAACGCATTCTCTTGTTGATTACGTTTCACCTGGAAATTAATCTTAGCATGTTACGCTGTCCCTTTTCATAATCACTAATCCTTAACTTGTTTCCATGGCATTCTTGAATAATTACGATTATTAACTATAATTTCGTATTAATCACCCTCACTTTCCTTATAATTACTTAAGGTAGATAAAAACAGTAAATGTTTGAGTTATCTCTTTATTGATTATCAGGATTGAATTTAGGTTAATCTGAAATCAGTAGCTCAGTGGATGATGTGTTGGTCGTTTGAAGTGAAAGGTACTTGGTTCGATTCTTGATGTGAACGTAAAAGCTGGAAATCAAGTATATTTAGCTGATAAGTCTTAAACAAGACGGAACAAGCGTTGCGGATTCTACTACTGGCCAAAATTTATTTTACTTACTTACTTACTTACTTACGCCTGTTACTCCTCGTGAAGGAGCATAGGCCGCTCACCAGCATTCTCCATCCAACCCTGTCCTGGGCAATCCTTTCTAGCTCCGTCCAGTTGTAATTTATCCTTTTCATATCTGACTCGATTTCCCGACGCAATGTGTTCTTTGGCCTTCCTCTTCTCCGCTTCCCTTCAGGATTCCAAGTTAGGGCTTGCCTCGTGATGCAGTTCGACGATTTGCGTAATGTATGTCCTATCCATTTCCATCGTCTTTTCCTAATTTCTTCTTCAGCTGGAAGTTGGTTTGTTCTCTCAAAATTTATTTTAAATGAACAATAAATATTCTTTTCTATTTCCTCGATTATTTATGTAGAATTGCATGGAATACCAGAATTCACTACACTTCATAGTCTTTCAAGATAAACACTCAACTCAAAAGCTGATTAAATGTACTGAAAATGCAACGACGCTTGTTTTTATTATCACTTTTGTATTTTTGATATTTTATTATTATTTTTAGTTTCCTCTTCAGACTTATTATTTTATATTCAGCAGTTATTAATGTTGTATAGTTGTTAGTGTTTATTGAATCCTACCCGTCAACTATACAATAAGGTTTACTAATCTCAGTTAGATAGTTAAAAGAACAACATTTCGCTATAAATGTTGTTAACTGATGCACTGAATAGCTTTGGTTCGAATCCCTTGGAGAATTTTACTTCCCGAGGTGTATAGGAGAGGAGAGTGAAGTAGCGTCTCACTGATTAATCTCAAAAAGTTAACACAATGCTCAAATGGATAAATAAATTCCTAACCATTTCCTGCCACTACAAAAGACTATGTCACATAGTTATATTGTAATGCACGTTGATTTCATAAATAATACACTTCTATTTCAAAGTGAAGTTAAAAGTTAACATAGAATAAAAGTAGCATAGAAGTAGTTTAATCAAAATTTAGAATAAATTATGCTTACTCCTAATAATGAATTCAATTTTTTCAATGTCTATCCAAAAATGACTAAGACTGAAGTAGAAACATATCACTAATTTGTTCATTCATACTAGCATATATATGTACATATATGCATTAGTTCAAGTCTATTTACTAATATCGTTTGTAAACAAATACAAAACAATATAACTAGTTGACCCTTTCAAAAGTTATAATATTAGCCAACTGGATAAACTGGTTTATTATTTTCAATGAATTACTCTCATCAAAATTAAATTAACGGACTCAAGTAATTAAATGAGGATAACGAGTACATATGGTTGGTAGAGACAAGCTAATGATCAATTAACAATCACTCAAAAAAACATCATTAAAATATATTAGCAAACAAATTTCATATAAATATTCAAATACACAGTGTTGATGAACAATTTTCTAAGAAAAAAAACATTATGAAGTTCTTAGCATGCATCGTAATGACAATGCTTTTATTTATGGTGAGAATTGATGACTGTAAGTAATGAAATAAGACTTTTTTTTCGGATAAATTTATGATTACTGTGTTCGAAAGAACTGTTATAAATAACTTAAGACGATGGATTATATAAGCTATTTCTTTCTTTTAGTTATTTATCAAAGTAAAATTCGGTTATTTGATTAAGTGATACATGTCACGTCCCGTAGTCTTGAATAAACTCATGATGGAACAAATAAACTGTTCACTGCTTCCTTGTTTATGGTGTTTGTTTAGTTAAATTTACCTCATCAAACAAATTACAAATTAAGCAATCTTCACAAATATTGAAATATCTAGCCAATTCCGGCAACTCCACTTCACCAGAAACCTTCAGAATTATACATAGGTTCAGAAGTGTTAGCTCAATTGGAATACAAATAGAAAACTTATGTAAAGTAGATGTTACTGTTATCCACCAGTTTAGGCCTAATCTTTGCGTATAAAAATAATATGTTCAGTCTCTCATTCTTCTATGATCTTAACTTCGCTTTTTTATCTCCCATAATCTATTGTTTTTATTTCTGTTTTATTATTTCTACTCCTTTCTAATTATTTTCACAACTAGTAATTAGCAACTATTACAACATAATTATTCAGTTCTTAATAGCTGCTATCAAGTGGACAAATAGTTTCTTCTTACCACTTTTTCACTAGCTGAATATTACACAACTTCCTGTCAATATTCGATTTTCAGTTTCTGAAATATATCAAATGTATTTCCTTTTTTTAATGTTGTTTCAAGTTTGCATCTTAATATCATTTCGAGAGAATCATTTAAGTCATAAGCGTCATTAGATTATATGATGTTACTTGGACATTTAGAGTTAAGCAGAAACAATCAAATTTAAAATTTTTTACTTAGTAGGTGAGAACATTTTACCAGAACTGATATGATACTGTTTCACTGTCAAACCATAGGTACAATTCATTTAAAAATACTCATATTAATTGTGAATGTATTCTGGAACAAAAATTGAATTCATGAATACTAACATTCACTAAAATTTAACTTTATCTGAAGAATCACTGAAAATTAGAAAGCACTAAACAACCGTTTTGCAAAAGTTCAAGACTCATCAACGATCTTTACCAATGATCAAACTTGATATTAAGCTAGACTTTAGTATACTGTATTTCTCAAATTTAAGCATTTTATAACATTTCACTATGCACATTTAAGGATATTTTTAAGTTATTGTCTTACACTTGAATTTCACAAGTTATCATAAATCCTTAGAAAACCATCTAAAAGAATAGAATTTATTGAAACAACAACCTAAAAAACTAATGATATCAAGGTTTATTCACCCTTTAATAGTGATCTTTAGTAAGGAAGTATTGTTCAACAAGTATTTCTTAATGAAGTATTGTAATGATCTAGAGTAACAACCCAAAGTATTTATGATTTTTCTATTTAGTTTGATCATTTCAGAAAATGAGAATTAAAACTTTTGAAAAATATAAACTGTATGATGTATCATTGATAACTTTTACTTACTCATGCATTTATTTACGCCTGTTACTCCTCGTGGAAGAGCATAAGACGCCCGCTCACCAACGCTCTCCATCCAACCCTTTCCTGGACAATCCTTTTCAGTTCTTTCCAGTTGTTATTCATCCTTTTCATATCTCCTTCTATTTCCCGACGTAATGTGTTCTTTGATTCTCCTCTTTTCTGTATCCCTTCAGGATTCCAAGTTCGAGTTTGTTTGGTGATGCAGTTTGATGATTTTCGTAATGTTTGTCCTATTCATTTCCAATGTCTTTTCCTAATTTTCTATAATTTTTGCTTTTTAATACTGATTCTAATCAAAATTTTACCCTGATGTAATATCAAAAACATTGAAGATACTTGTCTATATAGTGATATGTATCTTATTGTTATAATTTACTTCATGAGAATTTTTAATAATTTCAAAATCATTAGTTCCATGGAAAATGATTTCTCCTGACTGATTTCTTATTCATACGCAGTAAGTTTTGTTTAAATATCATACTGAAAATATGTAGCTGCTTTTGTTTTTTTACCGACTTAATGTGTTTTTAAACAGTAGTTAGTTACAGAGAAAAAGAGTACAGTTAAGTTTAATTGATTATGATGTAGAAAACAATATTTTTCTTTTACAAGTCATAATCATCACCATAATTAATCTCCCTTCATCATTACAGCATTGTCAGCTAGCTGTTTCACATGTAATCCATGTCCTACACCATTTAATCCCGGATCCAATTTAATTAGAAATAAAACAGGCTGTAGATGGTGTGCTGTAAGTTTCGTTTTCTTTGAATCTAACTTAAAATATCAGTAGTTTTATTTGCTTGTTCATTTAACAATATAAATGGTTTATTAAGGAATATATTGCAATTTTTTACTGTATAATTCATTGAATAAGTAATGGAAATAAGCAGAACATTTAAATATTTTATTGATTTTACTAAGGTCGTTTCTTGAAAACTGATGTTTAATTTGAGAGTAATTTCCACTATGAACTAAGGTTTTTCATGTAAAAGTTTTTGGTAGTGACAGATTTTATATGAGCACAATTATCATCATCATTGAAGTTAGGGATGATACTAAAGATTATTAATTCATTAAACCCTGTCCCATAAATAATATTGACTTAAAGAGAAGTCAATCTAAGTTTCTACATCCATGGCTTATTATATTTACAGCAATTAATAAAATAGTCAATAAATCATAAATCAAATATTTCTACTTGACCCGCCCCCTCAGATCCTTAACATTAATATTGAATGTTATAAATACAATTGAGAAAATTTTAGGGAATACATTAAACTGAATAGTTGGTTTATGTTCACTATGCATGGATTTAACTTCTTTCTCATGAACTGAAGTACTCGATATTTACTTTAGAATCTTATAACAATAAAGTTAACCATAAGAGTTAAATTATCTTTACATATAACTATACTACTGGTTCAAATTCCAAAATTTCTCCTGAAGATTTTCAAAGTCAAAACTTCAATGTCTAAAACAATGATTAGATTGAATTGTTTAAAGTATCCAACTGCCCTTCAATAATCATTCTTTGTAAAAGATAGTAAATTTCATATTATCTATGAAGTTAATTTACTAAAACTTCTATAAAATTATTTTTACTTAAAAAAATAATTTTCTCTTTTTATTCACCGAACAGAAAATTGAACCTAGCGGTTATCCATATACTGTTAGAGATTGTGTTGATGTATGTGAAGCAAATTCTTGGTTCTATATGTTCAGTAAATATTCATATCAATGCTGTACAAGAGATTACTGTAATAAGAGTCATACAAATTATCCACCTCTACAAATGATAACAATAATAATATTTGCTATTTGTTTCTATATCAATAAAATGAATTCAAAAATGTAAAAAAAAATGATTAATTAATTTGCACTTGAATTCTTTTTATTTTCAGAAAAAACAACACATTTATTAAATAATGATTTGATTGTTGGAATGATTAAAAGTACTTGTCGTTCAGGATGACAATTTTCAAAGTTTTTAATTGAGACCATGAATTGATCGATGTTAGACTACCATGGTACTTATTAGTGATAATTGCCATGTGCCCACTGGTGACTAGCTTCGTTAGAGAATTCTCAAAGTTCTAATGAGAAGCCGTGACCAATCGAGTTTAATCCGTGTTGGGTAGAGATGGATATCTACACTAGACAATGGAAGACGGTCGCGACATTAACACCGTCGGATGTCAGATCAGGGGTCAAGTGGTTAAGCGTTCGCGCGCGAGATAGAAGGTCCCGAGTTCAGACTCCACCTGTGAAATCGTGAGTGCGCACCATTGAGGAGTTCTATACTAGGGCGAGACGGCTATCCAGTACTCCCAGGTTTTCAGTGGTGGTATGACATAGATCGATTTATTATCTCAGTCAAAAACGTAACAATCACCACAACCCCATACTGATGGTTTCCAAACTACTTTATCTTCTGATTTGAATGGTTTGATGTCTTGTCTTTTTTAGACAACCTCATAAGCACACATTTCTAAAAACTGTCAGTTAATAGAACTTATTTTTTTTACAAAATAATTATCACTTGCAAAAACAAAATTTCTAAAGCCTAACTTCTTTTCAAAGTTTATGCTAATGATATTATTTAAGAAATCAATGAATAAACTGTTCAAATTATAGAACGTTGCAACATTAAAAATATTTTGTGATTACTTGAAACTATATTTCTTAGTAGTATTTGTCTATTTGATTCATCATGTGTGTACTAGTGAGTGAAATTTGTTTTTCTAAATATATTTGTAGAATTAATGAGAGATTATTTCATTAAGACTAAGTAATTCTATCCTTCGTAGGTTTCTCTGCAGCTTATGACGTCAAGTACATGAACCTAATTGTAAAATTGATCATTCTGTTTGAGTATCCTTTGTTTCAACAATATTTATAAGTTTACAACAAAAGTAAATATATTTGATTTTTAGAACACTGAATTTCGCTGTGTTAGTATTACTTAAATGAAACAAGATTGTATTGTAGTGAACAAGAACATAAGTAGGGACAATCGAAAGTATTCGAATATAGAATTACAGAACGTTTTAGTAAAATCTGAGATTCATACAGTAAACACTTCATTTGCAAAATGTTAATCAATCGTCTCAGGAATCATTGATCTTTCGTTTCCACACCAATCATTCTCCGTTCTCGTTCTCTTTCCTTCAATCTTCTTAACCTTCCACCACCAGGTATTTCACTTTCGATTGATGATACATACTACTTATATCTATTGACATCAGCACTACACACCACAATATCTGATGGTAGAAGTCAGTTAAATGTTCAATATTCATTTTGGTTTTGAATTTATTCTTGACAATTTCAGTACTGTTTTGTTTTTATTGCATATTTTGTAAGTTTTATTGATTTTTACCAAATTAATAATTCAGTAGAAGACAATTTAAAAAGTAAACTTATAATATATTGACCAAATTCATCACGGGTTATTGACTGTTCAGAGAAAAAAGGTAATAAATGGGAGAAAAACAATATGTTTTAGAAAGCATGCAATATATAATTTGTAAAAGTAGCAAAAATAGTATGCTTAGATGAGTAAACAACAAATAAGTTTATTAATAGAAGTAAATATGAATAATAAACTCTTCAGAGTCATTACTAGGAATTGAAAGTTAGTTCATGTAAAGTACTTAACCAATTTTACAATTGACTGATCACTGAGTGGCGATCAATGTCATGCATGTCTAGTCCTTATTAGTGCAGATCAAATGCTATCGATCATGTTGCAATGTGGCCACCAGTCTAGGTGACTCGACACTGCGGGCACTATATATTGAGATTAGATGGTGATCGATAGCATTCGATCTGCACTAATAAGGACTAGACAAGCATGACATTGATCGCCACTCAGTTATCAATCAATTGTGATTACATCTCAGTCCTACAGGAGGTCGGTCGCGACTCGGATAGCTCAGTGGTAACGTCTATGACTGTGAAGCTGGGTGACACAAGGTCGAATCCGCCGGGGAGCACCAGTTCACTCAAAATCACAGGTACACCTTGCTGACGAGTGCCAAGTAGCACAAAACCCGGGTCCAGGGTTTCCTGTCGACTACCTCCAACCACCATCTAACTTAACCAATTTCTTAAACAGACTTGCGAGATTGTAGTCTGCTTTACGACTAAGATAAAATGCAAAACTATTAGATGCATCAGTAACATGTTTCGATCTGATCATCGTAAAATATCTTTGAATAAACTAATAGTTGATCTAGAGTGATGCTTAATGAACAATTAATCAATACAATGAAAATCAGTATGTAAACAATACTATTTGAAGGTACTAATAGTATTTCTTCCCAAATAATTTAAAAAACTGAATTTTAAGACCTAAATAACATCATTTAATATCTTATCTAATCTGTGTAAATGTCAAACAATTGGAAAAAAATGGGAAATTACGTCAGGCTTACATTGATTACAGTACGACAGATGGAGAGAGGAATGGGATTGAAATTATAAGATTTAAGAAGATATTTTCAAGGGGAATCAGTTTGTACATTTCTATTTGTATTTCTCAAGCGATCGGTTAGAGTCATTTTCATAGTATATTAATTATAAACTCTGGTTTGACTGATTAACTTTCGCGACATCTCTTGCAATTTGTAAATCATGGTTAATTAGCCATAAACCTTTTACTCAATCTGGCACTACGAATGTCCTAGCTTTATTTTGTTGTTATTTATCAGTTGTATAATTATGAGGGTTTTTGGAGCCTAAATGACGCAAATAACACATAAAACATGTGGGACTTAGCTGATTTATTTCATAATTAGTTGATTGGCAAAGGATGAATTTGGCGTGTCTGATCGATTGCTGGCGTATACAGTATCAGGGTTATGAAAGTAAGTTTTGTTCATGTAGGCGGAAACGTCTATAGAATGATAGATTTTTCGCTATAACTAGGAACAGACAATGGTAACGCAAACAATATAAGACCGGAGAAAACAAGACATCTCAAAGAAACTAAAGTGGCATACTGGTCAACAAGTGACTAGTCTAATGGTGTTTATTACTTCTCTCAAGCATGGACATTTAAACCAGTGATAACGTTAGTTCGAAAAATATTATTTATATAAAGGGATTTAGACGGGTGAAAATTACTCAACAATATTCAATAATATGACATTCATTAAAACACACGTTAATAACCATTAAACAAAGATGAAATTCTACCAGATATTTTTTACAAATCTTTACAAATGAGTGGGATGAACTTTGCCAATACACATATTCGTTTAGACCAACTTTGTTCATTTTTCAAATCATCTTTCTATCATTTTGACTAATTATGTAACAAATACTTATGCATTCACAAAAAAGGTGAATAAGTCTAGGCAAAGTTATTCATTAACAGACGGTGAAAGTAAGAGTGAATAAAAAAGTGAATTTATGATGACCATAATACATTACCGAGTGAGGATAAAACTGTTCTAAAGTGATTTCATTTTCGTGTTCTGTGGTTGCTACAAAAAGGATATTGATATGAATTGTGATCATTTTATTTTATATATCGACTTGGGCTAAGTAATCTACTTGTTACGACCATAGTTCATGATATAGATAATTCAGTTGTAAGTGTTTGAATCCTCTCGTTGTTAATGTATATGATTGATATTGATCAGTCTATTTTGTATGATATGCATCCTGAGTGTATTACCCCGATATAACAATCAGTCACAAGAACGTTTGAGCATAGTAGGATAGTGTCAAATAGTGGAATCCAGGGTATTCATTTTGTCTTGTCTGTGACTCGTCAACAGAATCCCACTGCTACTTGCTATTTAACTCTGCTTAAAAGGTATATTAATTTGAAACGAATAGAACATATTGAAGAAGACAAGTTAAACCATGGCTAATAAGAAAAGCAGTGAATAAAACCATCAAATAGGTCAATGTGATTTGAAACCGGAATGCTTATGTTAATAACAAGTTGTACAGCCAGAATATGGGACATGTGTAACGGTAAGCCGCCGTAGCAAGAAACCAAGAGGAGAGATTACAAAAAGTGTATGAAAATAAAATTATTTATGGTAGTGCTAATTAGAAAACAGCATACATCTGTCGAGTATAAATATAAGAGATAGGCGAAGACCAAATAAAAGCTATGTGCCTAAAATAGATATAATTCTGGATGAACGAAGTTACTAGAAGCTTAAAACATAGGGAGACAATAAAAATAAACCCATATATAGAAGATCAAAGTGGCACATTGAAATGCGATAGCTTTTAACAATATTTAAATGGTAGAAATATAGAAGTATTACCTGAGCTACTTACAAAATTTAAGTACTATGATTCTCACACAAATAAAGTGTTGTAACGTGCGTGTGTGACTGCAGGTTATGCTAGGCAGCGTTTATTTATCGATCGCGATCTGTGACAGTGGACACGTAAACATGTAAGGACGACCTAGTGCCCTGATTGGCCTGCTTCGCTGTCTGTCCTAGCCAGTTGAGTCAAGAACACAATTCACAGCCTCTGGGTTATGAATCATTGTATTTCAAACATACTCTATTTATATACCAAGCAAACAAACCACATCGTACCATAAAATAGGAAACAACATTTGTACAATATTTAACAAGTGAAATAAACATCGACCAATAAGAAATGTACATTTAAGGTTCAAGGACACCATTGAACTTAACATGATAATTATTGGTCTCTTTTTCCGACTATCCTAACATAAAGTTTGACGAAAAGTCTGGGGATTTGAGTGGTCTAGAGAACGTGAAAGGAAGGTAACAAGTAAAGTACTGAGGTTCAGAAAATGGGCAACATTGGTTAGCTGGTTATCAGTAATGTAAGTGGTTAAAATATTTGCATAATTGTAGATTTATGAGTGAAAAAG